CAGGCATTTTTTCTAATAGAAGATGATATTTAACTTAAAAAGGAATTTTTTGTGACGTTGGATATCATGTTAAATTTCTTATAAAATTCTCGTGGGTTCAGAAATACCCAATACATTGGCCCAAAGGACCATTGGGCAAAGTGTTTGAAGTACTCAAATCCTACAATTTCCTCAGCAAATCTTTCGTTCAAAAGAACTATTGTAGGTCATAAAATAAACTTTTCACGTCATTTCAAAACCGAGAATTCCCGTGCATTTTAAGGTGAACTACAAAAGCCAACAATGTTTAGCATTGTGAATTTATGATGCAGATGTTGTTAGCTCATGCTGCATCAGACCTCCACCCTCACCTTACGGGTTGTAAGTGGGACGGGCTGTGGCAGCCCGCCCCACATCTGTGATGTACCCAAGCAAATTAGCACCTACGTCCTACTGTGAGACCGCTTGTATGCCCGTTGGGTATTTTGCGGGTTTTCACCAAACCTGTTGCATATGACAGGGCCGCCAATGAGGTCGTGCCGAGTGAACGATCGAACAGGGTCTCAAAATTTGGGGGCCTCAATTTCTTTATACTTTAATATATGCCAATGCGTTCCGGTGTATTTAAAGGCATCTCTTCCAGTTTTATAATTAAAGTTTCACTCTTACTCATCTATTGATTTGGCTAGAATGGACTTGTTTCCTTCGGTTTCGATAAGTACTGTTTGATGGCAATCATGGCTAACTAAAAGAGCTATAGCTCATGATGATTGCTAACTAAAAGAGCTATAGCTCATGATGATTATATGAACATCATCTTACAATGTTTGCCTATCACTAGCAGAAGCGGCAAATTGGGGCGTTGATTGATCTGCAGCTGGATGTGGAGCTGATGAAGGAGAAGGATGACAACATTGTCCCCGTCATCAACTCAGACGTTCCTGTGCTCGAGACCTGTGACAGCGCTGCTGTTGGCAGCAAGTACGAAGTTGTCAGACATGCTGGCGTTCGATGGCTAGTGGATCGATGCTGGAGCAGATCAACATGCGGCTGGTGATGGTTATCTTTTTATGGACAGTGGCCATGGAGGCATCCCTCGGCGATAGCCTCCTCGCGTAGGTTGCCAATGGTAACAGACTGGCATGGTTCACGGCCACCACTATCGTGTTGTCTTTGTGTCGTTGTTGCGGCCACCGTCATTGTGCTTTCCTTAGCGTCACTGGTGACACTAATTTGTGACAAGAGCGTGGAAGTCAAGAGCGATGACGTGATGAGCACCGGTGTCGAGCTCTAGAATGGGAAACCCCGGCGCGCTCGCCTTCATCAAAGCATGCGGATTGTTGTGGTGCTGCTAGACGATGCGGGCCAACCACATGGACCCACATTTACCCAAGTGGACTAGTTAAAGTGGGTTTGGTGGGTTAGTGGAGAGGGGTAACCCAACAGGTTAGCGGCAAACATGTCCCACTTTAGGTTAAATATCTCCTAAACCAGGGCATTTAACTTTTTGTCACTTTTAATATGTGGCAATTAAGAATTTACCACTCACAATCTATAACACGTGGATCCTCATGTGTCTATGATATATGGGTTTAATAACAAATTCTTAATTAACACTCGTAAGATTGACAAATAGTTGAATATCTCCTTAACCAGTAGTACCAAGTACCAACCATCGAGGCACCCAGGAATTGTGTGTTGTATGCAAGTATGACATCCACAAGTAACATTAACCGCTCAACCACGCCATATATATTACCCTTATCATTACCATGGCGGGAAAGAAAAGAACGTACGGAAGAACTCCCTCTGGTTGACGCACGCGGGTGAGGCTTGACTGATTAAAAAGGAGACAGAATCCTCCCTGGGTTGGGTTTGTTCTGGCTCGCACACAGCTCAGCAGCTAACTAGTCCAATGGAGCAGCTAGCAGGTGAGAAAATAAAAGCCAAGAACAAGTCGACGTGGCCGCCTTTCGTTACCCACCAACCCAACCTCGTTCTACGGTACGCCACGCCTCCCCTCCCCTCCTCCGCCGCCGCCGCCTCAATTAGACCGAAGCTCTAAACTCCGGCGAGCCCTCGCCGCCGCCTGCGTGGAGGGGAGGTCGGGAGGAGGGGGTTGATGGCGGGCGAGGGCGTGGAGATGTCGGAGGAGGAAGGCGCGTTCGAGGCGTTCGTGTGCCCGCTGACGAAGCAGGTGATGCGCGACCCGGTGACGATCGAGACCGGGCAGACGTTCGAGCGGGAGGCGATCCTCAAGTGGTTCCGCGAGTGCCGGGACAACGGCCGCCGCCCGACGTGCCCGCTCACGCAGCGCGAGCTCCGCGACACGGAGGTGTCGCCCAGCGTGGCGCTCCGCAGCGTCATCCACGAGTGGCGGGCGCGCAACGAGGAGAAGGACCTCGACCGCGCCTGCGCCTCCCTCGTCGGCGGCTTCGCCGGCCACGCCGGCGACGAGGAGGAGGAGGAGTCCGCGCTCCGTGCCCTGGTGCACGTCTCCCAGATATGCCAGCGGAGCGCCGCCAGCAAGGACCTCGTCCGCCGCCGCGGCGTCCTCCGCGCCGTCGCCGAGATGCTCAAGAGCGGCAGCCGACGGCTCCGCCTCAAGTCCCTCCAGGTCCTCCGCGTCCTCGTCGAAGACAACGACGATAACAAGGTCGCAAATCCCATCCATCCCCCAAATTTCAACCTCCCCCCAAACCAAGCGAGAATTGATCGATTCTTGGTTTTGATTTTGCAGGAGGAGTTGGGGAAGGGCGACACGATACGCACCATCATCAAGTTCTTGTCGAACGAGCATGTCCAGGAGCGGGAGCTGGCGGTGTCGCTGCTGCACGAGCTGTCCGGGCACGAGCCGACGTGCGAGCGGATCGGCGCGGTGTACGGCGCCATCCTGCTGCTGGTCGGGATGGGGAGCAGCAAGTCGGAGAGCGCCGTCGCCGTCGACAAGGCGGAGAGCACGCTCCGCAACCTCGACCGCTTCGACGCCAACGTCAAGCAGATGGCCGACAACGGCAGGCTGCAGCCGCTCCTCACCAGGCTGCTCCGCGGCGAGCCCGACACGCGGGTCGCCATGGCCGACTACCTCGGCGAGCTCGCCCTGGCGAACGACGACAAGGCCGCGGTGGCCGAGCAGGCCGGCCCGCTGCTGGTGGGGATGCTCCGGACCGGCGCCACGCCGGCGAAGGAGGCCACGCTCAAGGCGCTCAGGGAGATCTCATCCAGCGAGGCGAGCGCCAAGCTGCTGCTGCAGCGCGCCGGCGTCCTGCCCCCGCTCGTCAACGATGTCCTCTTCTCCACGGGACACCTACCGATGAAGCTCAAGGAGCTCGCCGCCACCATCCTCGCCAACCTCGTCGCCTCAGGCGCCGATTTCCGTTCCATCCCACTCGACGACGACGAAGACGACGACGGCGGCGGCGGCGGACGTGGGCGCCGCAGGACGCTCCTGTCGGAGGACGTCGTGCATAGCCAGCTCCACCTCATCAGCAACACCGGCCCCGCCATCGGATGCAGACTCCTCAGCGTCCTCGCCGGGTTGACCAGCTCCCGCGCGACGGTGGCCGACGTCGTCGCGGCGGTCAAGAGCTCCGGCGCCACAATCAGCCTCATCCAGTTCATCGAGGCAGCGCACCGGGACATCCGCGTCGAGTCCCTCAAGCTCCTGCGCAACCTCGCCCCCTACATGGGCGCCGAGCTCGCCGACGCCCTGGGCGGAAGCCTGAGCAGCCTCCTCCGGGCCATCTCCTCCGACGGCGGCGGCGTCACGGAGGAGCAGGCGGCTGCCGTGGGGTTGCTCGGCGACCTCCCGGAGGGTGACTCCAGCCTGACCAGGCAGCTGTTCGACCTGGGCGCGTTCAGGGCGCTGGCCCCGAAGCTGGCGGAGCTCCGGCGGGGCACCATCCGCGGCGGGAACCGGTACGTGACGCCGCTGACGGAGGGCGTGGTGAAGGTGATGTACCGGGTGACGTGCGCGCTGGAGGAGGACGCGGAGTACGTGGAGTTCGCGCGGGAGGCCGGCCTGGCGCCGCTGTTCGTCGAGCTGCTCCACACCAACGGCATGGACACGGTGCAGCTCTACTCGGCAATGGCGCTGGAGAAGCTGTCGCTGCAGTCGAGCCACCTGACGGCCATCCCGGCGCCGCCGTCGCCACCGGCGGGGTTCGGGTGCGCGTGCTTGGGGAGGAGACCCGCGGCGGCGGCGGTGCCCGCGGGGGTGTGCCGCGTGCACGGCGGGTTCTGCTCGCTGCGGGAGACGTTCTGCCTGGCGCAGGCGGACGGCGGGAAGGCGGTGGAGCGGCTGGTGGCGTGCCTGGACCACCTGGACGGGAGGGTGGTGGAGGCGGCGCTGGCGGCGCTGTCGACGCTGGTGTGCGACGGCGTGGACGCGAGGGAAGGGGTGGTGGTGCTGGGGGAAGCCGACGGGCTGCGCCCGGTGGTGGACATCATGGTGGAGAGCCGCACGGAGGCGCTGCAGCGGCGGGCGGTGTGGGCGGTGGAGCGCATCCTGCGGGTGGAGGAGATCGCCGGGGAGGTGGCCGCCGACCAGACGGTGGCGTCGGCGCTCGTCGAGGCGTACCGCAACGGCGACCCGCGCACCCGGCAGACGGCGGAGCGCGCGCTCCGCCACCTCGACCGGATCCCCAACTTCTCCGCCGCCTTCCAATCCAAACGCTCATAGCCTCTCCACAGATCTGCCATTGCCAATGTGCAACTGCAACTCTGCAAGGCTCTCCCTTCGCTGATTATCCCATTCCCCTCTTTCATTTCACTTGCTCTTTTTCCCATTCCCCTCTCACTTCACTTGCTCTTTTGCTGGATCGGATTGCTGATTTTTTTTTCTTTTTTTTGGTTTGTTTACAGCAGCATGATGCTTGTATAGCATAATCGTCTTAATTCTTTCAAAGCAAAATGGATGAAACAAAATTGGTTGCACCTCGAGTGCATTTTTCTGTGAGAATTAATCGAGACTGGGTTTGTAAATACACTAATGTTTCCAAGAGCAATCACAACAATCTCAGTCAAAGAGCTCCACCATCCAAACAGTCCATGACATTCTACTGTAAAACGCAACGCATCCACAGTACATATGTTCTGTTTGTTAAAAGTTAGCCGCCCATTTCTGTAATAAAATGTTTCGCTACAGATCTATTTGTGAAGGGAAAAAAATCAGCACGGGCTAAAGTACGATAACTCCACGTCTCCACCTCGTTCGACTGAACGCGATACTCAAGTCTCTCAGTCACCCAAGCTACAAGCCTACTACAACAAGTCTACAACACTCGTGCATCGAGGGGCTCACATAAATTACAAGATGCTATACGCTCCTCCAGACCATATGTACAGTTAAGATTAGCAGTCACTAGGCAGCAAAATCTCAAGGAAGCTTGTACTTGTGTATTCCATAAGTTTTCTGCAAATTGGAAGGAGCAAGAAACCATCAGTATATCACGCGGTATTGCTTCATGGCATCTAAAACCATCAGTATATCCTGTCTAAGATCAAGGTAGTGGTAAATTAAAATCTTTTTCTTGAGATAAATTGTGCCTTCAGTTTCTGCTAAACCATCTGGATTCTAATTGGAAAGTTTAGATTTATTAGGTGCTTACACTACAAAGGATAGTTTACAACCATAGACCAGTAACAATATTAAAAGATGCAACATATTGCAATTTAGTATATGCCCATGGTCCACTCACATATATAATATAACAAAAGACAGATAAGTTGCAATTATCCACTATCATTCCTACTTCATGTATTGTTCCGATATTTGTACAGCACACTGCATACTTAAATAACAAAATAAAGACATACCACTGCTGGACTTTTCTGAACTCCGTTAGCACAGGGTATATGTTCTCAAAGGCGGTATACGTCTCATCCCTCACCTATAAAGACAGTATATTCAGACATACAAAAAGGAATAGGCAATCAAGAATATACAAAAGGAAAGGCTGCTAACCTTTGCTCCGGTCAAAACAATCTTGCCTGAAACAAAAATCAGAAGAACAATCTTTGGTTGCTTCATCCGATATATCAGACCAGGAAAGAGTTCTGGCTCATACTGTTAACACAAAAGGCACAGGACATAAGAACAACATAACAAATGTGAAAGGCGTCCTAAAAAGGCATGCAAGGACTCAACTTACACTTGAGAAAGCACCATGAGAATATGCAAGTCCCTCCAGCCTGATTGGAAATTTAACATCACAAGAGCCAACAATGTTCTGAATCTTGAAATCCTGGTATAGTGCAATGAGTTAAACAGTTAGGTACAATTACAGAATGTATTTGGTAGGCACATGCACAGATGAAAATCAAGCAAGCTTGAAATAGTTACCTTGAATTTAGCAGGAAAGCCAAGCTTCTGGATAATACGAGCGTACTGGTGATAAAAACTAGTGTTAAGACTTCAGAGAGACAGATATAGCAAAATAAAATAAAAACTACCGCTCATACCTTTCTTGCTGCAAGCTTGGATTGTTGTTCACTCTTTGCCCCAGTACAGACCTGGTATAGGACACAAAAGATTTATAAACAGACCTCTAATTTAACCATAGATGCCAGACATCACGGTGGACACTGAGAAATTTTGGTTAACAGCCATATTTGTTTTTTTTATACAAAGGAAAAAAGAGAAGAAAAGATGCAACAAATTGGTGCGTCAAACCCATGGCAACCCTTTCTTTAAGTTCACTGCCTAACAGACAGGCCCCATACGACATACTAGTAAGCCTAAGGCTTCAACAGGTAAAGTTATTTGGATGGAGATATTGAACCAAAAGAAAATTCAAGTGATTTTCAAGAAAAATGAAGATATTGACCAGACAGGAAGCATGTGATGTGCTATTGCTGATTATCCTTCAACAAATAAATATGTTAGGTTCAATTTATTGTGAATAAACAATTCCTATTATGCTTTAAAGCCATAAAAAAGTTAACAAGGACAAACTATACATTCACAGAAAGAACAATACTCATGCAGTTATTACTATATGACACAGCAATGCAACAGCAAACATTTCATAAACTCAGAGCAAAATTAAATTTACAGATTCAACATTGAACTACAGGCTGCTTGGATCAGATATGGATGTGATAGCTATTGACACACCAATGCAACAGCAAACATGTCAGAAAAATCAGAGCAAAAGTAAATTCACAGATTCAACATTGAAATACAGGCTGCAATGCGGCACGGATAAAGGTAGGGATGTGATAGCTGTTAACAAGTAAATAAAAACTAAAAAGATAGTATGCTAATAGCAAAAGCAGTTACACAGCAGCAAAAACAGTTCATGAATCAATATGCATTATAATAGCTACAAGATCAACAGCTGGCCATTGGACAGATAACAAAACAATTCACAAGTCAATAAGCAGATGAACAAAACAGAACATTTGCAGTCACGGTACAAGAAGTTGAACCATACCATTTTACCCGATGCAAATATCAGAGCTGTAGTTTTTGGTTCTCTTATTCTCATGATAACCGCAGCAAAACGCTGTTTATGAAAGGAGGAATTAGCAAACTAAAACATAAATTACAGCAAATGAGTATGAAATTATATAGTGCGCCACTGACATAGTGTAAATCAATCTAAGATACTAGATAGAGATGTTTATAACCCCAGTGTGCGCTATGTCTGTTCCTTCCAAAATGTATTTATTATTAAAGCAAACATGGTACACCTAGATTTAGCTTACGATATTACATATAGTTACAAAATCTCCCAATACCTCGTGCTGCGTCTGGTACATGCAGCACAGATAAAAAGCCCAAAGCACTAAAAAGAGTAATTTTTATAATCTTATTTGTAGAGCAATTTGTTTATCTGTGGGACAAGCTGTCTTCACTATCTTAACTGAGACTTGCCTTACAAAACTCGACTGTCAACTATGGATTTATCCATACTGACATCTAAAATTGCACTAACACTTATGTTATACACAAAGGAAATATCACTCTAGGAACAGACCATAGGAATATATGGACCTTGTCTACATATTACATGCTACTAAGAATAACATTGGTATCATTTTAACATGCAATGAAGATATCCTTTTGAGCCAAAACAGAGACACTAGAACACACCGAAGCCATCATAATACCTTTGGATTATATTCTGCATTGCGAGCTTGCAAAGCTATAGCTTTGAGGTCTAATTTGCAATCCAAATTGACCGTCGATACGATGTTTCTGCCATCAAAATAAAAGAGAATGCATAATAAGGACCACAATTTCACTGATGAGTGTAACCAAAGGAAGAATCATAAGCTTAAACAGAGTGGGACACATGCAGACAGCAGCTATGATCCCAACACTGCAACATAAACAACCCAGCAAGGCAGCAAAACAGACATGCGCACTTCTGAGAATGCATGGCAACAAGTATACTATGACAGGCAGCAACATAAGCATGTCCAACCTTTTAGCAGCGCACACCAGCATGCAAATGTACATGCTTGGTAGCAACGCAGGCAGCCACACGTTCCAGAGCACACCAGCAAGTACATCATGCTAATAAACGGCCGTGCTTGCCCGTATTGGCCGATACATGGATTAATAAAGCCTAAATGTGTTGTTTAGAACTTCGAGCTGTCTAAAAACAAACAGTGACTCATGTGAACTGTATGCCATAAGAACCCTAAGGCCTAAACTCTCTACAGATATAACCCCTCTAATATTGAAAACCGTGAGCAGAAAGCATTAAATCTAAAATCAGATGCATGATTGATTATTATCTGATTCCCCCCCCCCCCAAAAAAAAAAAAGCTGACCAGCGGATTCAACCTGTATATCATATAAACTATATGGTAGCTAAAAGAGTTGAAAGACCGGACAATGGATCTATCACAGCACAGCACAGCACATCCTCTTTCTTCTCCACCCGGATTCGCAGATCTCAGATCGCCCCCCCTTTCAAACGCTACATATTAAACCCCCCCCCCAAAAAAAAAAAATCCAACCCAAGGCTACCACCTTTCCCACGATTTGCAACAATCCCCCCAAAGAACAAAACCTCGCGCCGCGAATCAACCATTCCATTCCACCTCAACCCCCCCCCCCCCCCCCTCAACACACAACAAGCTAAAAGGACCCCAAATCCCCCCGCGGACCGAATCTCTCACCCCACCCACAGGAATCCCGCAGATCCGCGCAGATCCGGGACTTACTGGAGCGTGGGGATGATGCCGGAGGGGTGCTTGGCCAGGTCCACGGGCTCGCTCCCCTCCAGCGCCGCTGCCGCCTCCGCCGCCATGATCCGACGATGGCACTTGACCAGGCGAATCCCACCCCCAAAAAAAAGGGCGCGACGGGCGTGGGGGAGGTGGCGCGCGCGCGCGGGGCGGAGGAATTCGAAATCCGAGGTCTTTTATAGAGATCGAGAGAAGGAGGAGAGGAAGAGGAAGGGGGAGGCTAGGGTTATCTATGCGCTCTCGCGAGAGAGGAGGCGTGTCTGCGCGGGGGAGGGGAGGTCGATGGGTGAGGAGGAGGGGAGGGGGTCAGTGGGTGGGGGTGTAGGTGGTGGGTGGACGGGGAGTTGCCGGTCGGTGGGATATTTATAGTGGGGCGGGGTGACTTGCTGCAACCGGTCGCGCGGTGGGATCACCGGTGGAAATTATGCCTGTCTGTAAGTCTTTTTTTTGTTTAATCAAAATAACTCTAAAAGCGGTCTTGGTTTAAAGGGATCAAATCAAATTTGGTTCAATTCATTTTCGAGGTTTAAGTTATGTTCAAATTGAATTGTAGTTACATTTCTACATATCGGGAAAATCAATACTAACAGGAAAATCCTAACGGTTGCTTTGGCTTGATCATGTATTATAGTTTTTCGCTAAATCAATACTAAGTAGTTAATTTAGATATTATTTAACCACTACATCGTATTCTTATGACATGTTTAAAGATAGAGTTTGACACGGACAAGTCAATACACATCACATAGATTATAGAATTTGAAACAACAAATGCTTTAGCTATTGATGCACCAAAAGAATTACTTATTTTACTCCCTTTATTTCCTTTTTCCTATCCATCTTTTATGAATGTTACTCTCTTTATCCCATTATATAAAGAATTTGGAGGGATGTGACATTTTCTAGCAGTACGAATCTAGACATGGAACTGTCACATACCTTCAAAATCCCTTATATAATGGGACAGAGGGAGAGTAAGAGTTCTTGAGTCATTGTTAAGCTTAACAGAATATTTGTTTATCCTATCATCTCTTTTTCTATCAACAAATTTGTTTAGTTAGCAACTCTAAGGATGAGTGCAGTGGGGAAATCTTACTATTAGATGCTGGCATAGTTAGAAGAGAGATTATAAGGAGAGATAGAAGCCATCGACTAATTAGTCAACTTCTTGCACGGTGCCTATGAGCGGCGTCCTACAATAACCCGCATGATTGGTGAACAGATTAGGAGAGATAAAATAAAAGGTAGGCCTAAATAAGAAGATAATTAATAATGCGACATAACTAATATTTATAATATATGTGTACGCATATAATAGCCGAATACTTATGTTGTGTTCGGAAGTAGAGGTTGGAAACTCCACCTCTTCATATGAAAAATGGAGCGATCCATTATCATATGATTAATTAAGTATTTGCTAAAATAAACTTGAAAAATATATTAATATGGTTTTTTAAAAGCAAATTTACTTAAAAAAACAAACAGTTTTTTAAGTAAAAGCGGCAAAAGACTTGCTGAATACATTAGAAGAAAAGAGAAAGTAAAGTGGTCATAGGACAATTAAGAAACAATTAATTACTTCTTACAAGGACTCGCAGTCCCTTAAAAGACGATTATAAGGGTATTGTGGATAGGTCTATTTGGTTTATATTTCCCTGAATCAAGAATGCCACCTGGTTTTCATTCTGCTCAACCTATTGAAAAATCTTTTGATTTCGCTCAAGCCAGACATTCCACCAGGTTATGATCAAGTCTCCAAGAATTATTGAAAAAACACACCATTTTGAAGTATGGAAATAGTGCGTGCGAAAAATGAGGAAGTAGAAGTTGAGAAGAGGCAGTAAAGAACACTGTAAGTTACTCTGTAATTGAACATGCCCTAAGAGCCTACTGTTCATTTTTGTTGCACATACCCAAAGGCCTAGAGTTATTCCAATTCCAATTACCAATCAATGCTCTAAATCAGCGTTTTTACTCCCCTTTAATCCGGTGAACGCCGTAATTAAATTATGTGGTGTTTACCTATCCAATGTTCCCCTTTTCTTTCCAATAGACCAGCTTTTTTTAGCAAGTGGAAAAGAAGGTTGGCTAGTTTTCAAATTTCTGTCTTGAGATAGTAAAAGAAACAAATACGCTATTTTTCAATGCCATTTTTAGTATAAATAAACCAATATAGCATTTGCCTCATGGTTCTCAGGACTTATTTTGACACAACCATCGATTATATGTGAAAGTGATGCACGTCACATGTGCACGGTGACTAGTCGATTGAAATGAGGAACATATCTTCTTCCTCTCATCCGTCACCTCCGTCAGACCACCATGCTACTCACATGAGCTCACCAGTGACATGCCTCGATCGGCCCGTTGCCAATGCCCCTATATAGTCGATATCCCAGCGTCATCACTTGTGCAATGCCATCATAACATCCATCTCTAATAGGTGCGTTCATGCCATTTTGACTTTGACTTCTTAATAGCTGTACAACCAAACAACTCTTGAATTTGATTTTGATTTGTTTTCATTTTAATAATCAACGAACCAACAAAAAAAACAAGCATTGAATTCGAGCCTCATATCTCATCCTTACATGGATTTAAATAGGGAACTCAATTCAATACATTCAGGATTTGTATGGCAAATGGGTTTGGGAAAAAATATCCCAACCATCGAAGGGTAAAATTCAATCCTAGCTATTCATTCCTTTCAGTTTATTTAATCCTAACCATCCACTTATTTCTATTTCCCAATCCCACCTCCCACAACCCATTTATTAAACAAGGTCCTATAACATTAAAATAATCCCTTTTTCATGTGGAGGATTGTATTTTTACCCCTTTTTTTATCCTATGGAACTGTTTGGAGCTTGAGGCATGTTTTCATGCTTATAAATCGAACTTCATGAGCAAAGTTTGAAGTAGAGCTGTGGAGCGGTCTGAACCCTATTTCACCCTCTAGTTCATTTTTTTTTAAAAAAATAACTGTAGCCCGCTTCGCTTTGTTTTTTTTTGATAAATATGAAACCGTACAATTGGACTACAACTCTATGACTCTAGAGCCCAAGCCCCTGGATTTTTTTTTACATTTTAGTATTTTTTTTGAAAACTTTGTCTTTTACAAACATACCCTTGAAAAAGCTTATTCTAGCAATAGACCTTTTCCTCAGCACCAAGGTCGAATGCCTCGGCGTCAACGACGCTGACACCCTCGCCCCCATTGTGGAAGCTAAGTCACTGATATAAAGGGGAGCAACGTCAATAACATTGACATCGAGGACCTAATTGTAAAAATAGCTAAAATATGCCTGTTTGTAAGAAAAATATTTACATTTTAGCCTTTTTAGAATTTTTTTTACAAATGTTTCCTTAACACCAATGACATATGTGTTGTCCCCATTTACATCAATGACTTAGCTTTCACAGAGCAAGGATGTAAGCACCAATATCATTGGCACTGAGACGTTAGACATTGGCGTCACGGTCATTGGCACCGAAAAAAGGTCCATTCATGAGATAAACTTTTTTAAGTTCTATTTATGAAATAAATGTTTTAAAAAGAACTAAAATGTAAAAAAAATCTAGGGCCGAGCCTTGCCAAACAGGCCGAATTGTAAGTTGTCACAGACTTGTAGCTCAGTTCAAATGCAACAGTGCTTCGATCAAAAGAAAATTGGAGCTTTTGAAGTAAAATAGGAGTATATCCTAAAGAAAAAGAAAATTCTCCTGCAACAAACTTATTAATTAAAGCAGCAATCATTGGATCGTTAAGCAGGTTACAACCCATGCTACTTACAAAGAATTTCGTAGGAAAAGTTTGCAGCCATATACAATACAAATACTATTAGAGGTGTACCAAATTTATATTTGAACAGAACTCGTGTGCAGGTAGAATTACACAATATATCATATCCAAATCTTGGAGAAAATGCATCTTCCATAGTATCAGCTGCAAACTCCCAACTCCCAACTTACTCAGCAGCTCAAGCACGTTATTGTGAAATTGAGAGATGCAACCCTTACCTTGCAACTTTACACATACACTATGATACAGGTTCTCTTGTCCCATTAAGCACAGGAATCAGCATGGCAAAAGCTGTTAGAAGTAGTGTCATTTAGTTCTTCAAGAAGAGTGCATCATCAGTATATGGCTCAACATATCTAGTCTAACCACCAGCTAAATATTGAAGATACTTCTAGTTCTCCACAAGTCCAGCATGTTTGCCTCCTTTCAACTTCACCAATCAATCTTTAAACAACCAAAGGAGATCAGACAAAGAGAGCAGGATTTTCTCCGTGCTTCTATTCTTTGAATCATATTTGTGATGATTCATATTTTCATATTTGCAAAAACTTCACGCTTTTGACTCAGCTGGAGCTGGCTGACTGGTGTCAATGTTCATGTGATCCTTCACAAATGTCCGAAGGCATCCATTGATTACCCGAGGAGCACCACCATCACAGAACCGTTTTGCCAAATCCACAGCCTATCATCAATGGACATAACAAGATAGATATTTATATGTTTCTTTTGTCAAACTTAAAATATGAAGGAGATTGTGATAAAATGGTAACCTCGTTAATGACAATTTTGTGAGGTGTTCCTTTTGATGTCATCTCTGCCATGGCAATATGAAGAATACAAAGTTCAAGGATCCTTGCAACAGGTTCGTCCTGCCCACAGAATTTTGGCGAGTCAGCAAAAATTAAATAGAAGCAAAACATGATCATTTAAATCAGCAATTAAGCATGTGATTGGGCAACCTATTGTCTTTCATATTCTTAAAATTTTTGTTTAGAAAAACAGGGATCTTTGGGTAGAATCAACTAACATTGATGGAAAATTTCAGATATTTCAAGAAGGTAGCTGATGTATTAAATAACTAGCACCTCTATATGACAACTATGCCTGTAGGAAATCAAGCCCCATAGAAGGGGAAATGAACCAGGTGAGCAATGCAAAGATAACAGGGAAATCCTGGCTTTTGCATCGAGGGATGCCTACAGCCATAGCAAAAGGTGGTGAACAAGCACCTAACATGGTTCAAATGTGGCTTGCTCAAGATGCACGGGCACGAAAAATTTAGAGGCCTCAATTTTTGTTTAGCTTTTAATTACTATTAACGAATCCTTTATACCCTTCTTTTTAGTATAAACTTAACTACAATATCCTCTTTTCCCACCCCTCTAAGCCCTCTCTATTAATGATTCATTTACAGCCTGTCTGCTACACAACAACTACGCTAATAATAAACTTATACTACCCAAACATTAATCATTACATGCAACCAATCAATACAATCAACTCTCATTTACTGTGACTGAGAGTTTCATTGTGAGCTCAATCACACCATTTACTTTCAGTTTTGATCCCCATAAATCAAAGTTGTGGGGCTCTGGTGCTACACCTTTTGGTCATTATAGTAGGCCAACTGTGCACTCGCTTCGGGGCTTGGGAACATCCCAATCCATCACATTGACAGCTGTTTAAAGTGGAAACTATACATAGTAGTCTGAAATTCCATGAGTTGACTTTTTTTTAGTGGGATGTAAGTTAAAGGTTAAAAAAATGTATTAAAAATATTATGTGACAAATGGTTTTATTTGGCAAGTAACCTACTCCTAAGATGCAGGTTTTACTTGAGAAATTGATCATAGGAATGATCAAATGGCAGGTATAACCCTGTTCCTAAATGTTCGATAATTTAGCACGGTGATGAGGCAAAAGCAGCTCCAACTAGATTGTTACACAATATAGTAACAAGATGCATATATAATTCAGTACTAGTGATTACTGAGGGATTATGTTCTCTAATAATATATAGCGCCTTTCAATTAAATCAACAAGCATTCTACTTATGCACGATTTAGCAAGCAAGTACAAAGATTTGATGGATCGATATACAACACTGGGAAAAAAAGTATCCAACCTTCCAATTCTGGGGAGTTATTTTGTTGATGATATCAACATGCTTGTCCCATCCACTGGCAACAGCCACTAAAATTTCTCGAGCCAGTCTGTTCAGAAAGCATGTAATTAGAAAAATACCTACAAGGACCCCGCACGTAAAAACACGTTACCTAAACAACAGTGTCCATTATGTGATTATACCAACCAAAAAGAGGAGAGAAGAAAAAAATACCGTAACACAAAGTTGTTGTACACCAGCTTTGGAGGAGCTGAAAGAACTTCTGCTTCTGAATTACAAGACAATGAATCTTGTGTCAAATTAAATAATTCATCAAGAATATACTACAGAGACATGTTGTGAACATACTCCCTCCGTCCCATAATATAAGGGATTTTGAGTTTTTGCTTGTACTGTTTGACCACTCGTCTTATTCAAAAAATTTGTGCAAATATAAAAAACGAAAAGTTGTGCTTAATGTACTTTAGATAATAAAGTAAGTCAAACAAAATAGTAATTCCATTTTTTTTTTTGAATAAGACGAGTGGTCAAACAGTACAAGGAAAAACTCAAAATCTCTTATATTATGGGACGGAGGGAGTATTATCTAAAAATACTCACAGTTTTTTTTTAAAAAAAAGGATACATTATTTCCTGAATAAATATACTGCAAAAAAACACATATTATATTCCAAATGTTTATAAAAGGCAAGCATAATATCATTGCCATAAAACCAATAGCATTGCGATTGTGACATTGACTTCGTATTAAGGACAGGATTAGGGTAATCTAGGGGACTTTTGCTCTTGCAAAATGGCAAGTGATTGAACTTGCAGGATTAGTCATTGCGATTAGCCGATTAGTTAATGAGCTCTTGAAGAAATAGTTAAGTAAGATCATGTGCCAGTGCTATATCCCCAATTTTCATCCAGCAAGATGCAGAACTAGTTTCAATGAGAATAACATTTGCAAAAAAGTTGTTACCATTTGCTGAATCCTTCTCGTTCTGACTCATGAGCTTCTCAGCCTCCTCCTCTGTCCCGACCTCCAGAGGTCCCCCACCGAAGCTCATATGGTTGTAGTTCACCACGCACGCCTTATCGAAAACATAGCCAGGTTCTGCAAAATCATATAGAACAAGACCAGAATGAGGCAAAGAGAAACCAAATTCATCTATCCAACGAAGGCCAAACAATTGAAGCCATTGTGCAGCACAGTGATGCTGCTAGTGGATCACAAGGATAGTGCAAAGAAGCTAAGAGGCGTCAGGAGGAGGCTCACCTCTTCTCGCGCTGATTCTGCGGTCGAAGAGCCGCACCACGTCGGCGCCCTCAAGGCAAGCCGCGTAGGAAATCATCCTGCAAGCACGGTGGCAGGCAGCCATTAGCGACAAATACGAACCGAATCAAGCAGCCCAAAGTTCTCGGGCTCGAGGGCGAGGACTCACAGCGCGAGCTCGCGAGCGGCGCGGGGGCTACAGAACCGCCCGGACCGGTCGACCTTGGAGGGCGCGACCGCAGCAGGAGCGGGTGTCGGCGGCAGCGGCGGCGGAGGAGGGTTCGAGACGAGGACCGTCGCGCGGGAGGAGGCGACGGCCCGTGGTGGCAGCGTCCGTGCGCTGCGCCACGCCGCGGGGCTCGCCAGGAGACGGCCGTGTCTAGGCGCCGCGGGACTCGACGAGGACGCGGTGGAGAAGGCGGATACGGCGGCGCCCGTCGCTTCCATGTTGCTCTGCGCTGCGCTGCGCGGCGCGGCGGCGAGGCTGCCGTAGAGAGGCGGAGGAGGAGGAGGCGGCGGCGGTGGCGTCGCCGGTGGAGGTGGGAGAAAGAGAAATGGTGGAGGTGGGGATCTCGGAGGTGGGAGGGGATAGCGAGGGGATAAGGTGGTCGCTTCCTCCGAAGCTACGCGGGCCGTCACAGAAACCGGCCCATATCCATATATAAATGGGCCGTAATTTGTTTCCAACTTACAAGCCCATCTACTTCATGGGCCGAAATTTCAGCCACCCAGTTAGACATCGAAACGACCAAACGAGCGTGTATCGATCAATCGCTGTATAGGCAACACCAAAGTATCTACAAAATCAAGCAGAAAACCTCTACAAATGTAACTATGTCCTCACGCCAATCAGGGCGTCGTGACCATGGCGGCGAGAACCGAGATCAGCATGGCCGTCGCCACCGTCACGGCCACCGCCGCCGGCCGTCGGCCGGCGGCCGCAGACGGCTCGATCTGTATGGTGAAGTTGCAGGCGTTCGTGGACGGGTCCTGCTGCGTCTGCACGGCGAGGCCCTGGAAACCGCACGACTCCTCCACCTGGTTCTGCACCTGGAAGTAGGCGTTGAAGGCGTAGGAGGCGTTGCCGGCGGCGTCCATGCCGTTGCACGTCGAGCCGTAGCCCAGCGAGGTGCAGTCGGCGTACGTGCAGGCGTAGTTGACGTTGTCGCCGACCCTGCTCATGGCGTCCGGCGTGGCGCTCGGGTTGAGCACGCACCACGCGCGCGGGAGGTAGGCGACGCCGCGCGCCGCCACGAGCGCCGTGTCCCGGCCCTGCCCTGCGAGGTCCATGGAGTACTTGGGCTGGCCGTCGTACCGGAGGATGCCCCAGTGGCGCTCGAAGTTGCCCGGCGCCACGCTCTTGGCGTCCTCGTCGACGAGGCTGAACAGGTACACCTCCACGTACTGGTTCGGCCGCAGCGGCGTCCCGGCGTTGGACGCCAGCTTCCGGAGCAGCCCGGCGTAGAACCGCTGCGCGAGGTCCGCCCTGGCGTGCTTGTCGCCGTCGGTTGGCCACCCGACCTCGCCGACGACGACGGGGAGGCCCCCGACGCCGGCGGCGACCAGCGCCGACACGAGCGTGTCGAAGTTGGCGTCGAACACGTTGGTGTACTGGATGCCGTTGGTGTCGACGACGGGGCTGGTCGTGCCGTCGAAGAAGGCGTAGTCGAGCGGGAAGTTGTCGTTGCCGTACAGGCTCAGGAAGGGGTAGATGTTGACGGTGAAGGGCGCGCCGCTCTGGTTCAGGAACTGCACGATCTCCGTCATCAGCCCGGCGATGTCCGGCCGGAACCTCCCCGCCGACGGCACCTGCATGTTCTCCGGCGAGTTGTACACGTCGGCGTTCAGCGGCACGGTGGCCTTGATGGTGTCGCCGTGGCCGGCGTCGTAGAGGGCTCGCTGGATGTTCTGCAGAGCAGGGAAGGTCACGTTCAGGAACGTGCCATTCAAAGACGACAGGAATGGCTCGTTCCCGACGGCAACATATCTGCAGGGCAAATTTCATCAAGAAATCGATATTACCCCACCGCAACCAGAAGAAATCTCAATAATTTTCCAAATTAGCGCATCTAGTGAGTAATATCAATGTGATTAGACGATATAAACATTGTTTATATGTACATCTTTGTGCAAGTGTTAACCTTTCTGAACAAACAAACAGTTCTTTCTTTTTACACTTTTTTGTTAAACAGTTCCATGTCATAAAGACACTAGTCATCTAGCGCATGCCTACAAAGTACCGATGGCCACTAAAATTAGATTAAGTGCCCTACTTCAAGATAGCTTTTTTTTTTTTGTAGACTAGAATTCAGAGGGATGATCCTTGTAGGATCGCTAGTACTGATGACACATCATATTCAGATCTTTTGTCAATATCTAAACACCTAATACATCCTCGATCCCAAATAAAAATCAACTTCTAAAGATGATTATCCTTAAAAGTTGGTTTTTTAGACGAAGAAAATATAGTATCAGATAATGCCTAAAAGAGTACTACTATATTCTTCAGACAGAGTTTGGACGGAACAATTGGACAAATGCGACGCATATGCATAATTTTAACTTTCAACTTGTTGATGTTAAGGTTGCCACTTTACTGATCAGAAAGCTTCTCCGAATCAGCCAGCAGAATATCCACGTCACCCCATAGTAATCAATCACTTCAAAAACTACTCCAGAGCATTATTCAAGATCAGCTCAAAAGGACTTTGGAATTAATGCATAATAGAACCAGAACCATGACCAATTATGCACGAGGCAAAGATAATTAATATGCACATATAAGTATGTCATAATCATAATCAGAATAAAAACTCAATAACTATTTTGAAAAAGAGCAACACATCAATCCAAATCCTATCGAATTCTGACAGCTACAACTAATATGTGACACCTGAAGAAGCAACAGCTGAATGTAAGAAGGATTTTTTTTTCTTTAAAAGAAAAAAAAAAGAGGATTGCACCATGCAGAGCATCTCAATATCTGAACCATGGATGGAGGAGATGATCATGGTGGCATCATGCAGCTGTGGTGCGTGGACTCACTTGATATTGACGCCGCCGTCGAAGCTGTAACGGCTGACGTTCTCGTGCACCCAGTCCCTGGCCGCGTCGTAGTCCGTCAGCAGGTCGAGCAGGTTGTTTGGGATGGCCACCATCACCTCGACGCCGCTGCCGGCGAGCGCCTCCATCGTCCCGGCGTCGGCGTCGAACAGCTTCACCTTGCTGATCCCATTGTCCTGCAGCATCCGCACCACCGCCCTCGGCGGCAGCGGGTGCGACGCCATCGTGCCCCAGTTCACCCCGAGCCCCTCCGCCGCCGACAGCAACACCGCCGCCGCGAACGCAACCACGGCCAGCCTCCGATCACCAGAGCGGCTCGCCATGATCGACAGCGAGCAAGCTATAGATAGCCAGCCCAAGAAAGAAGAGAGAAAAGCTAGAGCTAGAGCGCGAATCGAGTGATGGGGAGATTGGAGGAGGGTGGGGGATCGATTATTCTAGTGGACTGCTTTTGTGGAGGAGGGGACAAGGACAGGGGATTTTGGATAGAACTGAACGTGTGATGACGAAGAACCACATAGGAAGAGAAAAAAAAGCAGCAGCGGCGGGTAAAAGCTTTTTCAAACTTTTCCATTCAAGGACGACTGTTACATTTGCTTTCGTGTGTATCACAATTCACAGTGACTGGAAACGGTGCATTTGCAGAAAGATTTAAGAGAGGATTGGGGGATTAGGGGATGGGTTAGAGATGGCAAGAATGGATTGACAACAACTTTCGGTCTGGGGAGAAAGAACAGGGAAGCAACATATGCAAAGGTGAAAGCTAAGTCAAAATGTAGAGTGAAAAATTCAGTGGTGTGATACTGTGATTAGCTTAAGCATCTAGCTGGGAGTGCTTGATTTTGACTTTTTGTTTTGGGGGGTAGAGATGGAGGAGAGAGGTGAATGACGAATTAGAAAAACCTACCTTTTTCAGATTGAAGCAATGTTAAACTGTGGGTTTAAACAGCTGAACTAGAGGTGAGGCTGGTCTTTTTCGTTCATACAAGCAACACATATTATTCTTTTCTGAAACAAGCTTTTCGAAATTTTGTCAAAAGGAATCCGAAGACCGGCTGAGATATGCTTCGCAGCTCGTTATCTTATAAGCCGTAGTCAAATTTAAATTGAAACGTATAGAGAGTCATGTTTGGCGTGCTTGTCGCTATTATTATCCCAAAAAGGTCGCATCAAACATGTTTAGATGCATCACGCATGAGGAACACACATAAACGGGCTCACATCCTCTGCTTATGCTTAAGCTGATCAGAGACAGAGAAATAACACTGATGCACAGCGCTAAGACAAAGATAGGGCAAGGTTAATGTACTGTAGCAACAGTTACATCACCGCCCATGTACTGTGACACCAGTTTTCCCAACAACCTCAAGAACGTACTCCGTACATTAAAAAAATCAAACTAAAATAGAATGTGATTTATTATAGGACAATAAATATGGATACGAGCTTATCCTAATTGATTTTTTGGGACAGAAGGAGTAGCTACTGATACGGAGCTTTCTCCTGTGTTTCCCATAAAAAAGAATAAATTATTAAAAAGAAGATCTGAATGTGTGTTTTTCATCCAACGGTTACCTTTGCTTAACTAATCAAGCCAGATGAACAGCGTGTGTGTCGACCTTGCGTGATGCTAACTACTCATGGATAAGTTTTTTTCATGGCGTGACATCAAGGCCATGAAAATTAGTGGTGTTACTCCATTACAGCTCATGGTACCGTAGACAGCTGCTTTTCGTCTTCCCTCTTTTTTAAAAAAAGATAAAACAGTAAGGTAGGATTAGCTGCTACCATCATGCCATGCCATGTGTGAACAAGAAACAAATACGGTAGTAATCTCATTATGCGTGTCCCTGTATCGTCAAAAAAGTATATATAGAATAAAGTTGTTATCCGAACAAGATGGTTGATCGATGCGAATAAAAAAGAAAGAGATCACAGCCCCACGGGAACCGATTGAAAATTATCTCTGCACGTACCGTCTATTTAATTTTTCGTTTCCTCGACAAGGGATGAATCCAATCGACTTTTGCTTCCCGTCCATTTTCATGTAACCATTGTTCATTCACGCTCACACCGGCGAGTTGCTTTTAGCTAATACTCCTGTATATCTCACCTGATCTCGTGGCTGTTTGCAATTTGATTCTGCCCAGCCGGCCGGGGGGGGGGGGGGGGGGGGCGGGGAGTAGGTCGCCGGGGGCGTCGCTGTCTACGGAAACCTTTTGAGTTCTGGAAGATCATAACGTTTTTGTTGTTTTGTCAGGACGAATAATGAATGGCTCTTTTTTAGCAAAGTGAAACAGGTTTCTTACTTTTACCATTTTGGAGGATCTAAACAGGGTCTTTCTTATGTTTTATTTCGTTGTTGCCGCCTCTGTGGTGAGAAGGGTGTGCAGCTGTGCTGTGCACTCGGCACTGCCTGACAGCGTAATCTTGCAGTTTGTTTTCAGCTTGAGACAGCGAAAGGAAAGGGAAGATTAAGCTGAGACGGTGCTAGAACAAACGACAGGTAGAGCTCGGCCCATATAGTGGGAATCCCTGGAGGTGTATATGGGCCGTGGCCCATTTAAGAAATAAGTCCACTTGCTATCCCTCATATTTACGTCAAGTTTAATCTACATCACTTAACCGCCATATCAGAAATCTTAAACCCCAACTTACAAACCGGGTTAAATTAGGTCCTCCAGCAGTATAGATGGTTTCTTTTGGTGACGTGGCAAGTTGACCCAATCCATTCATACTAATTAGGTGTTTACGTGCCAAAAACACAAAGTAGACCCCGTATGTCATCCTCACTCTCCTCCACGTACCCCCCCTACTCCCTTAACCTATCCATCTCTCCTCCTTCCTGGAGCTCGACGCATCGAGCACGTCGGCACGGAGCAGTGACTGGGGAGGTGGGGGTTGGCTTAGGGAGAGGAGGTCCAGTACAACGGTGGGCCTATCATGGCGACGATGAAGGCTGAACCAAAGCAGGACTGACCGTATCGAAGCAGGGACGACCAAATTAGAGGAGGAGCCATGACCGTCATCCAGGTTAGGGCCCTCCCTTCTCACCTTCTCTCGTGATCAGTGCGAGCGTCTTAGTGGATTGAGACAACGTGCTCTCTTCTTTTGCCACCACAGGCAGCCACGACCCCATCCTCTCTAGCCACCCACCATCACCGATACATTCCCATGAATGGCTAGTGAGCTCAAACTCCCTGGCTCCATCACCTCTCTTCTCACATCCTACACCGCCACAAACTCTGGAGCTCTTTCGTCGCCGACATCCCACTGCCGTTGCATCCTCCCATGAATGGGGTTGCCGATCATCGCCCCTCTCCCCACCGACAAGCTCCTAGGGAAGAAATGGGGGAGGTGGGGACAGGTGAAAGTCCATTTACATGTACACACCACATGTTTCAATTCTTCCTTTTCTATCAAAAGGATGTCACATCAGTCAAAACAACTACTTCCTCCGTCTTAAAATGTAGACATTTTTTAGGTTGTCACGTGTATTAAGAAAGTAGGTGAAAATAATTAGAGGAAGTGTGTTATTGGTTGAAAAGAGAAAGTAGGTGGAGAATAGTTGTGATTGGTTAAGGAGGTAAGTAAAGAAATAGCTTCATTTTGGGACAAGGTATTGTGCTAGAAATAACTATATTTTGGGACGGAGGTAGTATCCATATTATCATGGGATCTGACTTGAACGGTTTTGTCAATATAAGAGATGAAGATTTTTCGTATTGCAGTTTAGGGATATCTACTAAACTCGATGGAAAGATAAGGGGCGGTAAGTAGACTTATCCTTTAATTAACCATTCTGAGTTAACCGGGTCTCAACACGATAATCATATGGGCCTCATCATTGATGATAGGATGGAAAGCCCAAACTACGAACAACGGAGCACCGTCACGTTTTCAATTACTGGAATTAACGTGACAATGTTGTACCAATGAGAACAATTAATACTCCAATCTTATGATGCTAGCACAATGACTAGTAACGGGTGAAGATAATTTTAATCTCATACGATGTCAGGCGCAAACATAACCAAAATGAATGATCTACGCCTTTGTACTGTGTTTACAAATCTACGAATAAATCAAACTATAAAACATGAGGCCTCATTTTAGTCATCCAATAGATTAAAGATTTACTGATTTGCAAATAGTGAATGAAAAATTAGCCGATATAGCAAGATAGCGATTTAATTTCAGTCACTTACCGGAGACCCCAAACAGTAGCCTTATCTGATGTTACATTTTATACTTTATAACGGATGGAGTATGCTAGCTTATCTGCTCGCTGCAACGTCGTCTGACGGCATGCACTGCTAGTGCTACCTACTGCTGTTCAGCACCCGGCACTTTGGGCCTCGGCGGCTCGGCGCCGCGGCATCGTTTCCCGCTCTCACGGTGCCCACGACAAGCGGCCGACGTCCTCCTTGCAGTCCGGCCTGCTCTGCGTCTTCACGCGCCTCCATATCGCGTCGGCGCCTGCCAGCTTCCGCGCTTGCATGCAAGGTTTTCCAGGGCCGGGGTTACCATGTCTCGGCGGTAGGTACGGTTACCGCGCGGTAACCGTGAAAAACCGTGTAAAATTTATCAAAAATTTAAATTATTTTTTAAATTTATTTAAATTTAAGAAAATTACTGTGGTATTTATATTTCCGTACCCCCACGATAAGCCCTTAACTTAAACCCTGGTCGCCTGGCCTCCTTTGCTTGCTCGACGCGGCGCCGCAGCTCGAGCTCTCAAATACGAACACACGTGTAATAACAAACTCATTATTCCCTCCGTATAGTCTTAGCACTGTTCATGTCCAACGTTTGATCTCTCGTTTTATTTGAAATTTTTTTATGATTAGTACTTTTATTGTTATTAGATGATAAAACATGAATAGTACTTTATGTGTGACTAATTTTTTTAATATTTTTTATAAATTTTTCAAATAAGACAGATGGTCAAAACGATAAACACGGATATCTATGGCTGCATTTATTTTAGACAGATGTAGTAGACATTATCGGATCGATACACGTGTACAGCTATATTGAGTTATGGAGCATCAGGCATAGGCAGGTGGATCGTGCGTGGCGCGCATGCGCGCGAGAGAGTACGTGTGTTGTGTTATAGGCCTATGCCCTTCGCCGACCGCTGCGGTCCACCAGTTCGTTTCTTTTATTCATCCCGTCCTCCGAGCGACTGCGGCGCGTAGAATCCATCTGCGCATGTCTTTGGCGGATTGGCTAGTTCTCAATCTGCGCGAAATTAACTGCACAGTGGAAGCATAACAGACAACAGACAAAACGAACGAAGCACCAGTACTGCAAGTCTGCAACATCGCCCAACAGACAACAGATGACAACAGAAAATTAAAAGACAAAACAGATAACAGAAAATTTAAAAGGAAAAACGTGCACCAGCCGGGAATCGAACCCGGGTCTGTACCGTGGCAGGGTACTATTCTACCACTAGACCACTGGTGCTTTGATGTCAGAGTTTAGACAAAAGACATTAAATTCTTTCCCTTTCGCCGTATGTACGCCGTACACGCAGGCACGCGGAGCCGTGAGCCCGTTGCGGCGGCAGTGGGCAGGACGACGCGGACGGGGGAGCCCATCCAGCGTACGCTACAGTCCGTAGCACAGCACATGCGGACAGCGACACTGTTGTTGGGGGGGAGGTCGTCAAAACAAGATGCAGAGGGGAAGGGAATAGGGATCGGTCCCTGCTACCTGGACCACGCGTCCTCCGTCGTGTCGTGCCCCCCGCACGTACGCAGCGAACGGGAAAAAAAAACCACCACCCAATTAAAGCGGGGATCGCAGCGGCGCACGATTCTCGTGATGCGCGGGCCGGCGCGCGCGCGGTATACCTTGCTCTGCCCGCTCACCGGCCGAAAAGGCAGTTAGACGAGGCCAAGAGGGGAATCGTGTTCGTTCTCGCCGTGCTCCCCTGCTACCACGATTTGGTATCCCATATGGAATAGGAACTGAGGCAGTGTTCATCAAATGTCCAAGGAAATGATTTCCCACCTATCTTTAAATCCCAACCATTCATTCTCCCTTATCCATTTAATTCTAACCCTTCATTCATTTCTCAGTACCAATCCCACTCCTCATTTCCCATTATTCAAACCCATACCCTGAGTAGTTCAATAATTCATTTCTAGACCACTAATAAATTATTATATTACAATTTTCCTGCTAAAAAAACATGTTCAAAGCAGTTATTCACACTCAAACTGTTTCTTCTTTTTAATTTTTTTTATGTTACAAGGTGAGCTTCTTGGCGATGGTCTCCACTGATATTAAAATTTAGGCAAGGAGTATAGTAGTGATAAAGAGAAAGCCAACGAAGAAGTAGATGTTCTCAAAAAACGCAGCAGTAGAATTTGCCCGGAAACATGGCGTCAACCTTTGCCTAGTGAGGATCAAGTGGATTTTTACAAACACCCAAGCTAAAGTAGATAGCTGCCACTCGACACAATGAAGCAGATGCCATGCTTCTTGCTTAACCCCAACTAATCCACGCAAAAAGGTAAGAGAGAAAAAAAATCAACAAGAAACCTGCCTTTTACGATGACGAATTTGATCACAAGGTCTCGCGTTAGCGCGTGGAGACCCGAATCGAAGCCACGACAAGCGCGTTCCAGCTGAATAAAGTAGCGATGAGATTAAGGCTCATTTCTTTTTAAATTATTTAACGGGCTGTTGAAATAGATTATATATATGTTTGACTCTTCGATAAATATATTTTGTTAAAACGTTTTACTACTTATATTGCATAAACCACTTACTATTCTAAATTATTTATATTAAGTTCACATATCAAAACATTTAATTGACGTAAGTCAATAATCTACTTAATAAATTTGTTTTAAACTCGTGTTTCTACTCCAAGAATGGGTTTCAAACTCTAAGGAAACTCGTACGTCACTTAAATATTTATATTTTTTTTAAAAAAACATAATAAGATAAATATGTGGTATGCCACTCTATAAACATTTTAACTTTTACAAGTTACAATAAAAAACAATTTAAATCATAGCTAGTTAACGTACATTTACAATCTAATTTATTTTTTCGTTGTACCATTTAGAAATTAATTAAATTTAATCTTGTTGCGAAGTAATCTATCACTTTATTGAATTTTTTCATAACAACAACTTGTATATTACCGTATATGACGAGGGAATGTACCTAAGAATAAATTTTCCTCCTACTGTTCGCTGTTTGGCATTGTGTGCAAGCAGGTGTTTGCGCGCGTGTCAATACGGGTCACTACCTTCTGAACAATCGGGTAGACGTACACTAGGATCAATGACGGCATTTCTATATTACTTGTACTAAATACTACCTCCGTCTTAAAATAAGTGCAGCCATGGTTTTCCGCGTCCAACTTTGACTGTCCGTTTTATTTAAAATTTTTTTATAATTAGCATTTTTGTTGCTATGAGATGATAAAACATGAATAGTACTTTACTTGTGACTTATGTTTTTAATTTTTTTAAAAATTTTTTCAAATAAGACGGATGGTTAAAGTTGGGCGCGGAAAAATATGGCTGCACTTATTTTAGGACGGAGGGAGTACTCGCTTGACGTTATCTTAGAGAAGCTCAGCACCTTACATGCTGCGCCCAAATAAAAAATGCCGCAAGTGTGCGAAAATGACAAACGTTCAGTGCACCAGGTTGATAGGAAGCAAGACGAAGATGATGCAATCGGCTAACTTTTTTCTGGAAGGGGCAATGCATGTAAACTAAGTCCTTATTAGTTTCTACAAACTTTTACTCAAAAACATCACATCAATATTTTTATACATACATAAATAAAATAAAAAACTAATTTTAGATATATGCATGAATAAAATGAAAAACTAATTGCACAGTTTGTATGGAAATCACGATACGAATCTTTTGGACCTAATTAGTCCATTATTAGCTATAAGTGCTACAGTAACCATATGTACTAATGACAGATTAATTAGACATAATAAATTAATCTCGTGGTTTACGAGTGAGTTATAAAATTAGTTTTTCATTCGTATCGGGAAATCCATTCCAACATCCGGTCAAACGACCGATATGATACCAAAAATTTCTTTTTCGCGAACTAAACGAGCCTTTCACTAAACCACCAATTAGGTGACGTTACGTCCGGTTCGCGAAACAAGACAGACCATGCCCTCGTGCCGTTCTCCTCAATTTGTCCCCGAGCTCGGACTCGTCAAGTCCTTTGCCCGGAGACGAGGAAGACGACGACACCCAACCAAAAAGGCGTCGTTAACACTGGACCGGAAATCGCACGTGACGAGCTAAATAAAACGCCCCTGGGGGTCCCCCGGAGCATGGCACGATCGATGCACGGAGCGTCGTAAAAACATGTGAGATCAAACGATCGATCGGGAGGATTGTGAGTGCAAATGAAGAAATTAATCCTTGTACTGCTCGTTAATGTCGGGATTGCGACAGGATGCCAAACGAAGATATATGAACAATTGCTACATCGCTGTTAGCTAAAGGCTTGTGAGTAATATACACAAAAATCTGGTTTTTGATCTATCAGTCGATGTTACTAGGCTGCTAGCACAAAGCTAGGTGTAGTACGTGGCTACGTTCTACAATCAATCAGTGGTCGCCATTGATGGCGCTCCGAGAGCAGCGATAGGTTTGGTTGCAACTGCTCGATCATATCGATCGCTAGGTGGGGGGTGTTGCTATGCTGGCCACCAGGAGTGTGTCCAGAGGCCGAGGCTGTCGAAGACGCGGATGGTGACGAAGGCGAGGTAGATGGCGATGAGGCCCATGCCGTACACCCGGTCCAGCCGCATCCCCCTCGCCGGCACCACCAGCAGCGCCCATGCCAGCCCGGCGCCGAGGAACCCCACCGCCTCGTACACCGCCCCGCCCGCCGGGATCGCGAACGGCGCCGGGTACTGGGACCCCGCCGCCAGCGTCAGCGAGAGGCCCAGCCCCACCACCGTGTTGAACAGCGGGCCCGCGTAGCAGCCCGACACCGCCGTCTGCGCGCCGCCGGCGCCGCCGTGCAGCGCCATGGCGACGTTCGACACCAGGTCGCCCAGCGAGTCCCCCCACGCCAGCACCGTCACGCCCAGCACGCTCGCCCTCACGCCCACCATGTACCCGATCGCCACCAGCAGCGCCACCAGCTCGCGCGCCAGGGTGTACGCCCACAGCACGCTCATCAGGAACCCCGCCGCCAGCCACGGCACGCGCCGCCACCGCCCGCGGGGTGGGGAGGCCGCCTCCGTGGTGGCCGCGGCGAGCGCGGCGAGGAGGAGGCCGAGGAGGGCGCCGCCGAGGAGGACGGCGAGGGCATGCCGGCACGACGATGCCCAGGTGGCGGCGAGGAGGACCGGCGCCAGAGCGAGGGACGCCACGGCGCAGGGCCGGGACCAGCGGTGCCCGGCGATGTCCGGGATTGTCAGGCGGCGAGGGAGGTACAGCGGGATGAGGATCGCGGATAGGAGGCAATGAAGGTAGGCTCTTTTTTTCGAGGGCGCCGAGTTCTTGGAGTAGGACGGCAGTGGCGTGACGCCGCCGTCGTCGTCGAGGAGGAGCGGCGCGGCGAGGTCGGCCTGCGGCGGCTTCCCCGGTTCAGAGCAGCAGTGGGAGGTCCAGACGAGGAGGACATACGCGACATAGAGCGAGACGAAGGACGCGGACACCCAGACGGTGACCGTGCCGGTCACCAGTATGGCGAGGAGTGAGCAGAGCGCGAGGAGGAGGAAGCAGATGTCGCGCACGAATCCCCGCAGCTCCACCACAACCCCGCCTCGGCCGGCACGCGAGGCGGCGGCGAGCGCGACCACCCCAGCAACAACGGTGGACACGAACAGCGCGCCACCGAGCGCGCTGTTGAGCCCGACGCCCCCGCCGTCGCCGGCCGCGAAGGAGACGACGCTGGCGAAGACATCCGGCGCGCCGTTCCCGAGCGAGAGCAGCGTGACGCCAGCGATGGCCGGCGGCAGGCGCAGCTCCGCCGAGAGCCCCTCGAGGGACGCGCAGAAGTACTCGGACGCGGTGTCGCCGAGCAGGTAGAAGAGCACCGCCAGCCAGAGCACGGCCGCGGCGTACCCCGCCGCCGGCGCGTGGGCGAACCCGCAGTAGAACAGCCTGAGGTAGTCCACGTACCCCGCGGGCGCGCACGGCGGGTGCGTCCGGAGGTACAGGCACCTGGCCTCCCCGCCCTCGATGGACTGCAGCTCCTGGCAACTTCCCTGCTCCTCGCCGGCGGAAGAGGACGACGACGAACCAGAACGAGAACGAGAGGCGCTCCCCCTAAGGGCCAACCCTTCTAGGACGCCGCCATGGCCTCGGCGAGTGGGCAGGAGGTGGGAGGCGGAGAGGACGAGCAGCAGGAGGAGGAAGCAGCAGGCGCTGGGGACGGCGGCACTGTACCCCCGCCTGCGCAGGAGCGCCATAAAACGGGGGAGAACGCGGGGGATTCCTAGGACGGCATGCGGCCCGCAGGGGGGGATCGGAGGTGGGGTGGGGGCGTTTGCGCGCGGGGGATCTCGGCGTGGAGGCGGAGCGGCGCGGAGGGATTCGCGGCGCGGGCGGTGGGCGAGCTCACCTCAGCTCATCAGCGCGAGGCGTGTCCGTGTGCGTAGTGCGTGCGTGTACCGCGCGAACAGAGCGAGTGGGACGGGAGGCGAGGAGACGCGACGCGAGCGAGAGAGCGATAGAGAGAGAGAGAGCGAACACACCCTTGTGGGTTAAGTAACCTTGCAAGTTGGGCACGCGGTGGTGGCACGTACGGGCGCCGAGGAAGCGGAATGGAAAAAGATTGGGGATTGGGGGGGAGGATATTGGGATCGGGGCGGGTGAGGTGTGAGGTGGGGGTAAACGTATCGCTCGCGCCGCGTGCGGTGCGGTCCCTGGAGTACGTGGCGGCGAGTGATTGTGTGGTGGGTGTGTACTCCCGTGTCCCCGTGAAACTCTTGTGTCCCTGCTGCTCTCTACTACTCCCGGGACCGACTACCGCGGTAACTCCTGCGCATGTGTACCGACTACCGACCACTACAGATGTGCCAAACTGTATCCCGTCGCTTGTCGGGTGTGTAGTTTCTACCGGATTGCAACGCCTCTGCTGCTGCTGCGGTTCATTTTTTTTTCTCTAACGAATTTCTGGTGCGATTCCTAGCCCGTTCGTGCCGCCGTTCGCCATCTTGTCTCTGTCTTGTGTTTATAATACTGCTAGAGACTAGAGTATTGAGGGGTACCCAGTAACTCAGTCAAGAAAAATTTATAGCTATACCTAATCTATTTTCATCATGTGTGCATTCCCCTCATTACAAATTTAGACATCCACATTAGCTTAAACATGATATAAAGCAGAGTAAATTAAACAAGTGGCACCCGTCTCCATCTCGCTCTAGCTCCGCCCCTGCATACAAAGATAGCGATCGTCTGCCCCAGGTATATGTAAAAATAGTAATTTTTGTAGGTAGACATCACACCCATGTGTAAAAATAAATTTTCGCAAGAAGGCACTATCGGAGTGCAGGACTCCGAGAACGGGGAAGCAAAAACCCCTACTTTGAAGATTCAACCAGGAGGCTAGTTAAGCCTGAGTCACCATCAGGGAACATATGGACATAAGGAAGTACTACCTCCATTTTTTTACTAGATGACACCGTTGACTTTTTCTCACATGTTTGACCATTCATCTTATCCAAAATTTTATGCAAATATATAAGATATAAATCACACTTAAAGTACTATAAGTGATAAAACAACTCATGATAAAATAAATTATAATTACATAAATTTTTTGAATAAGACGAATGGTCAAACATGTGAGAAAAAGTCAACGGTGTCATCTATTAAAAACGGAGGGAGTATATAGGTTCGGACTGCATAGATACATAACACCCTACTTCTATATGTATGTGGACTATCGGTGAGGAACCGGGATTAATTACAATGAAATATGGGACTTGTGTGAGCTCTAATCGCGAAGGAATCTAACCATCTATCTGTTGGCATGGATCCTCCTTTGATAGGTAATTGGAGTCCATAGTGCCAATACGTGATATAGGAGCAGACCCCATTCAAAAGAGTGGGTACGCTTAATCTTGTTGATGTCCCACATCACAATCGCTCAAAAGGGTGACAATTTTGCTCTCCGGTTGACACATGATGCTGGTGCGAGGTGATCTTCGCCCGGTCATTGTGGGGCCTACCAGTCAGCCCTTGTGAGGCGGCAATGTAGAACTGAACTAGAGTAATGGAGGCACGACACGTGGTGTCCCTCCTATTCCTTCAGTAGACGTGGGCGTGTGGGAGGCTGCATGCAATGCCACATCCCTAAAATGCATGTGGATTAACTGTTCTCCAAATGGTTCTCTCCTGCAATGAAAACCATGATGTTAGGTTGGATTTAAACATCTAGTTAGTCCGGGGCAATGGGGCGTGCTCGGACCCTAGGTTGGGGCCTCTATCTGGCCCTCACTACTACAAAAGTGATTTTTCTGCACGAGGCCCCATTATTTTTCCATGCGAACCATAACTAGTGGCGTCTGCAAAAATCGAGGGTCATTTTCCCATAAGGCTGCTTAAGTGGCCCGTATGGAAAAATCGATTTTCCCATACGGGCCTTTTAAGAGGGCCGCATGCAAAAATGAGCTCATTTTTGCATGCGACTCACTTAAGCGCCCGCATGGAAAAATCAATTTTTCCATACAGGCCACTTAAGAAGCCGTATGCGAAAATAAAATTTGAAAAATTTGAAACTAGTGTATCTCACTCATATAAACTCTAAATTGGATGATTTTTTCCCTAAATGTTCTAAAATCATGCTCTATAATATTATTGTGTTCTTACTGGTATTATTTTGGCTATTTTTTCTTGTGACTTTGTTTTATCAGTTAAAAATTTGAATTTCAAAACTTCAAATAATATTTTGAAGCAGTAAATGATTTCATCTGAAAAAGTCATCAATAACAAAGTTGTATAACTCATCAAGATCTATAACTTCTATTTTGGTCATTTCTTCATCCGACAAAGTGATTTGTAAGATTTTTTTTACAAAATGTACATCTCTTATATAGTTTTATAAAAACTATATAAGATATGTTTATTCTGTGAACAATCTTACAAATAACTTTGTGGGATGAAGAAATGATCAAAATAAAAGTTATATATCTTGATGAGTTATACAACTTTATTGTTGATGACTTTTTCAGTTGAAAACATTTAGTATTTGAAAATATTGTTTGAAATTGTCATATTTTGAAAATCAAATTCAAACTGTTCAAACAAAATCATATAGAACAGTGACCTAAACAAAAGTTGTAAATCTTGATGAGTTATACAACTTTGTTGTTGATGACTTTTCGATTTGAAATCATCTAGTACCCGAAAAATCATTTGAATTTCTTATATTTTAAAATTCAAATTTTATATAGTTCAATCAAACTCAGATGGAGAAATGACAAAAAGAAAAATGGTAGATCTCAATGAGTTCTAGAACTTTATTTTTAACAACTTTTTCATATGAGTTCATCTAGTGCCATAAAAATCGATTTGAAATTTTAAAAAAAGCCACATATAAAAAAAAATCAATTTTTGTATGCGGACGATTAAGTAGCCCGCATGTAAAAATGAACCCTCTTCCTTCCCTCTTCCGCAGTTCAAAAAATTTCACACCTAACCCTATCTTATCCTCTCCTCTCACATTATCCTCTCCTCTCATTCTTCTCTCTCTCACTCTATCTCTTCTCTCTCTCTCTCACCGAGATCGAGCAGTGCGGGGCGTGGCGGCGGCGCCGGCCGAGAGCGGCGTGGGACGGGGCAGGCACGGTGGGCATGGCGGCGGCGACAGCCGAGAGCGGCGCGGCGTGCGGCGGCGGCGGGCGGGAGCGGCCGCAGGCTCCAATGCCAAGGACGGCGGCGGCGCGACCTCGGAAGCCCGTCCCCGCGCGGATCCGCCGCCTCTTCCTCCCTCTGTCGTTGCCGTCGACTTCCCCGCCCTCCCCCGCGGCGCGACGACGGCATCGATCCGGCGGCGGCGGCGGGACCTCGGCGTGGTCGCGGCGTGGATTCGGCGGCGGCGGCGTGTCCCGGCGTGGATCCGTTGGCGGCGCGACCTCGACGTAAATCCGGTGGCGGCGGCCCGTCCCTGCACGAATCCGGCGCCGACGACGACGGACGATGGTTGGAGCGGCGGATTGGCCGACGACGGCAACGAACCCGGCGACGCGGAGGCTGGCTGGATTAGGCAGCGGTGGGCTAGGGTTTGGAGCGGCGGATTGGCCGACGACGGTGACAAATCCGGCGGCGTGGAGGCCGGCTGGATTAGGCGGCGGTGGGCTAGGGTTCGGCTTTTTTCTTTTTTTTTATTTCGCTGAATTCATTTTCGCATGCGGCTGGTATAGGGGACCGCCCATTTTTGCATGCGGTTGCTCTAGCCGTATACAAAGATGACGATATTTGCAGATGATTTCGCGCAGCCGCATGCGAAAATCGTTGCCGTCCGTCTGCAAAGATGTATTCTGTAGTAGTGTCTATTGCGCCCTGAGCAGCCGTATGCTTAGGGCATCAAATTGTCTAGGTGAAATTGAGAGGATGAGGAGTGGAGAGGTTGTTGAAGTGAGGAGATGAGAGGATAAGGAGAGAGAGAGCGGGGGTAGGGGAAATGATATGACTTATAGATATTGTAAGGAAGAGGGAAGTGGGCGTTGGACTGGTGGGCTGATTGCGTGCAGGCATGTCTGTTAATTAAGAGTCTCCGCCGTCTGTGAAAATTGAATTTTGCATGCAAGTCTTTTTTTCAATATTATTGCAAGTGGACGTTATTATGGTCCGTCTATAAGTTGGTGGAGGATTCGTTCGCAAAAATCGATTCTATAGTAGTGGATGCAAATTAATTATTAAATAGGTTATACCTTGGCGGTTGGAATGTCTTGAATGAAATGCAAATAACGTAACATGGTTATACGAAATTATGAAAATTTTTGACGGAAAAATCATAAAAATAACACTTGGGATGTTTATAAGTTTTGGAAATGCCTACAGCTGTGAATGATCCATAGCTGCATCTGTGAGTCGTTCTTAACAAGGTGTATATATATTTATCATGTTCTTTAGCACGATCTTAATTTAATGGTCATATGGCACATCCCATATCGAAAATAATAAGTTACCATGATTCTTTTCACTCTATATATGACTGCATGTTCCTTCATGGATTTGTATATGCGATGGATGAAGATGGAAAAACTACACTCGGACAATTCCTTGTTTTCGTTTCAAAGGAATCTAATTTAATCACTTTCATTTTAGGGCAGCTTGTCGAAGACTCTAAGAGCAGTTACAATAGTAGACTATTAGTCAGCTGTAAATATATTTTAATAAGGTAAAAGATGAGAGAGAAGAATAGCGGGCTACAGATATATAGCCAGCTACAGCACGGACTTCAATATGCAATGTATGTATGACAGGTAGGACCATATATTAATAATAAGTACTTCCTCCGTTTCACAATGTAAGACTTTCTAGCATTACCCACATTTATATAGTTATTAATGAATCTAGACACATATGAATATTTAGATTCATTCACATTTTTATGAAGCCTTACACTATGAAACGGAGGAAGTATATATTAATATAGTAAGCAACTATTAGAATTGACTATTAGAATAGCTATAAATGAATTGAAGCTAACAGTGGGTTATACTATTAAATTGCTCTAAGTAGAAGCAGTGTATACTCTCGCCGACTTATCAGGTAGCGCCGTAGCGGAAGAATTATTTGATATAGGCAATAATTGGCACACACTGATTAATGAATGAATGACCCGGTAACTTAAACCTGCGACGCACACGGTCTATGCATGCACTGGGCATTAATTGTAGCACACACTTCCGATCGATGTGCCCAACGGCCAACGCTGGCCGTGCCGACCGATCTAATTAACGCGCGTACGGACACCGCGCCCCGTGCAACTGTCTTTCTAGCACGCAGCCGCGCACGTACGTAGTACATGGACATGGCTTCATCTATCTCCCACTGTTTGTCTACGTACGCCGGTACGCGCCATCTCCAACTCCACGCACGAGGCACCTGACCCGGCGTCTCCGTCATGCGACGGGATCGCTGAGCCCTGGCAGAGCAGCGGGTGGAGGAGGACGGCGAGGAGGACGTAGGTGAGGATCACGGCCTGCACCTTGATGGAACCCATGGCCATGGCTGGCTGGCTAGCTAGCTCAATCTGTCCAAGAACGGACGGTGAAGAGAAGATATATATATTTGCTGCTCAATTTCTTCTTGTTCTATGTAACTTTGCAAGAATGAACTGAACTGAACTGAACTGAACCGAGCTGAGCTATAAGCTGTTGCTGATACCAGTGTAAGAAATCTCGTCAGAATTTATAGTTAAACGGATGCAAGAACAGTAGGGGGGTGATTTCTGATTTGGGTTGTTTATTGCTGCCTGTTTTGATCAGTTCAAACGGTCCTGCTTCTACATGTTTTGAAGGTCTGATATTGGAGGCTGTATTCTATCATAAAACATAGGATATGATAGTGTTATGGAGTGGTACTAAGTTGAGGAGTTCCTCCGCGAGTCTTTTTTGTCTTGACTTTTGATTGGCAGTGGATAGTCACAGGGACATAAATGAGCACAAAAAGGGTTGAGAGGGTGAACATCTCAACATCTTCAGAAAACGATTAAGCCAGTGAGAGAAAAAAAAAGATAGTCACAGCGGGACAGAGGTGAATAGGTGATCATCTTCAGAAATGAACAATTTTGGTGCCAACTAACCCTTGATTCCCAATTTCAAAAATAAAAAATGCAAGTTGTTTTTAATTTCCCTTTGTGTATGCTCCCTCTTTCTATTTGAATCAGTGTCATATTTATTTTTGAAAGAATACAAACAAGTGAGAGAATAAAAAAGAATTGAGAAAAAAATGACTTACCTAGAGATCGGTGAGATTCGAACGTAGAACCATGTGTACACAAGTCAAGCAACCAAATCATGGCACCACTACCTTGGTAGGCTACATAGAACAAATCAAATGGTTAATTAGCAAGTATATGGGGTCAGCGCCGAGGTATTTGACGCTGACCCCGTGCCACATGGAATTTAATGTCAGCTCAACAAAAATCTCGACGCCGGCGCTGATGGTTGAAGTTTTTAGTAGAGGCTATTTTCAAAATAAGTTTTTCTGAAGGACCAGTTTATCGAAAAAACGGGCCGGTCGACCGAGAAATAGAATTCTCGTGATATCACCGGACGTACGTGTCTTTCGGGGAAAAAAAGGACGTACGTGGCGCGGTAGATATAGTAAGATACACACGTACCGATCGCGCGCGCCGTGCAAAATGGGCACCCCAACAATGATGCCGTGGCCGACCGAGAACTAGAATTCTCGTGATATCACCGGACGTACGTGTCTTTCGGGGGAAAAAAAAGGACGTACGTGGCGCGGTAAATATAGTAAGATACACACGCACCGATCGCGCGCGCCGCGCAAAATGGGCACCCCAACAATGATGCCGTGGCCGATCGGTCGATATATCTCTCTCCCGGCCCGGCCGGCCGCTATCTGAGGTTCCGAGGTTAATTTAGCGCGGAATTGTTTTCGTCGGAATATATCCATGTGTGTTTTTTTTAATAATGATCTATGTGTGGCCTTGTTTTGAAAATTTAATTGCAACAAATGTAATGGTGCAATCGGATCATGATTTGGATAAGTAATTTAAGAGAAAAAACAGTTTAGAGTGGTTTTGCACGTAAATCGGACACTGACGTCATGCTAACGTCAACGTCCGATTTTAATCTCCTCTCATCGGGTGCTCGAGCCAGAGTCGCGTCAGCATGCGATATTATCAATCGTTTACAGTTAGGCGCCTGGAGTACGTGCTACATGAGCAGGTATATCGTTCTATGGGGCGGCTTGACGCGTCAGCGAGCTGGCTATGCAACAGAGTTCGGCACGCGCGCGTGTATCGAGGTCGATTACGTGTAGCTGTGTAGTACGTGCTCGTACAGAAGCAGGCCCTCGTGGCCTCCTTTCGGTTGCCTTTTTTTAAAAAAAGTTTTTCCTTTGCCTTTTGGTTTTGAGTGTCCTTGCACGCTAGGGTTGAACTAGTGCAGATAGTTTCCATCCGATTGGATTCTATATTTTCGGTCGGAACTATCTATAAATTTTCGGATTCAGAAATGAATTCGATTTTTTTATTCGGAAACAAAAACAAATACCAGCAAGAGTTCTATCCGTCGGAATTGGAAAACGGTCGGAAATTATACGGAAATTTTTTTCGATATCCGTAGACGTGGATAAAATTTTAGAAAAAACACGTATATATACATACATTTTTATATGGAGTCAGATGAAAATAAACTTTGTATCAAAATTGTAGAGCTCGATGAGATCTACAACTTTCTTATTGACTATTTTATTATTTGAGGTCATTTAAGGGTCTAAATATTTATTATAAAATACTATATTTATTTTTACAAAATCTCATATCTACAATTCAAATGGCATCTGATGGAGATGTGTTCCATATCACAGTTGGAGAGCTCAACGAGATCTACCACTTTGTAGTTTATAACATTTGTATTTGAAAATATTTAAAGTATAAAACAAATATTATAAGTTTCAAAGATGTTAAGTCAAATCAATAACACCTCCAATTTATACAAACAAGAACTTAATAATGAGTGATATGGTAAGTAAGCTATACATGCATGTAGTAAAAGGTATTGGTATTAGAAAATAAATAAACATATTTATATATGTATCTCTTAAGAGAATGGCCATGAAAATCGATTTTCACATACGGTTGTGGGACCGCCTATAAAATTGACTATATAAATGTTGGAGATGTTGACCTAAAATAATAAGAAACTCAATTTAAGGGGGGTTCTTTATATACCGGCAAATATTCATTACCGTATTTGTTCAGCTCGTATTCGCTCCGTATCTATATTCGATAATATTCAATTTCATTTCCATATTCGGGTTTTCGATTCCGATTCCAATTAAAAAATTATGAAAATGAATATGATAAAGCTTCCGTTCGTTTCCGATCCGTTTTCATCCTACTTGCAGCTATTGACGTCGTCTCCGACTCTCCGTGCTCTCGTGCAATGCGCCCTTGTACACCAGCCTTTTCTGAGAGGAATAAGTCCACTTTGACTCCCTTTAAAGTGACCCGAATCTAATCCATGACCCTAAACCGCAAAATCGGATATCTCAACCCCCGAACTAGTGAAACCGGTGCAATTTGACTCCCTTATGGTTTTGGAGGACGGTTTCGCTGACGTGGCGGTGTTGACCTAGTTTGTGGGGTTGACATGGCGCTTAGGTGGCATTTGAATTAAAAACATATACGTGGGACCCGTTTGTCATTCACACACATAAAAAATTGTAGGACCCACGTGTCATCCTCTCTCTCTTCTTCCTCCCCTCTTCCTCCCTTCTCTCTTTCTTTCCCTTTCTCTTCTCTCCCCTTTGGCCGGCCACGGGGAGCATGGGGCTGGAGCGGCGGCGGGCGGGGCTAGAGTGGTGGCGGCCGGTAGGAGCTGAAGTGGCGGCGGTGGCAGAAGCTGGAGCGACTGTGGCGGCGAGAGCGGTGGGCTGGACCATCCGGCTGCCACCCTCCCCCCATCTCCTCCTCCTCGTCATCCTCCTCCTCCTTGTAGTCGTCGCCGACCTCCCCGACCACACCGAGATCGGCGTCGAAGGCGATGTCGTCCTGGAGCATTGACCCGAGGAGGATCTCCGACTGCGCCATCGCTGCTGTTGACGCCAACGACACCGTTGCCAGATGTTGCGAAGCCTCCCCAAAACCCCATCGCCGCCTCGAGCCCCTACGCGCCATCCTCCCGCTTCGTGCCGCCCGGCCCTCCGCTAATGCGGCCTCCTCCCCTTCGTCGCATGCCTCCCCCAACACCCCGCCGCCGCAGGGGGCAGCTTCCACGCCGCACAGTCCAGCGCCCACCCGCTAGCCCTCCTGCCCGCCGCCGCTTCTGCTCCAGTTCCCACCCACTGTCGCCACCCCTGCCCGTCGATTGCTCCACGAGAGAGAAAGTGAAGACAAAAGGGGGAGAGAAGAGAGAGAATGGAGAGAGGGGGAGGAGGAAGAAGAAGAAGAGAGAGAGGATGATATGTGGGCCACAATATTTTTTTGTGTGAATCACAGATGTGTCCCACAGGTATTTTTTTATTCTAATGCCATAGAAGCGCCACGTGGGACGAAGACTAAGTCAACATTGTCACGTCAGCGCCACATCAACAAAACCGCTCTCTAGAACCGCCGGCGTCGAGGGAGTCAAATTGCACCGGTTTCAATAGTTCAGGGGTTGAAATATCCGGTTTTGCGGTTTAGGATCATGGATTAGATTCGGGTCACTTTTTAAGGGAGTCCAAGTGGACTTATTCCTTTCTGATAGGTGTAACGGCCCACCTAACTGAGCCAACTTATCAAATGGACCGATTCTAAGGCCTTTCGTTCGGAATGTTGGACCAACCCATTTTACTTACAGTAGTCTGCAGGCCGTGACTACTGCCAGATAGGACCCACACTTCACTCACTGCACGTGGGCCCCACGTCCTTTCGATGAACCCGAAGCTCCTCCAGCTCGAGGAGCCAGCCGCCCTCCTTTTCGTCGTCTTCTCCCACCGCGGCGGAGTTCCTGGAGACGAGGAGAGATTTACCGCTGCTTGCCCACCTCGTCCGCACCGGAGCGCATGGAGGTCTCGGCTAGGCTCCGCGCGCCGCCCGCCTCGGCGGCTCCGCGCCGCGGCCGAGGATCCCTGCCATTGCCAGGGTGGTTCGCGTCGGCCCGGCCCGCCTCTCGTGCGGTTTCCGCCAAGGTGAGGTGACCTCCCCTCTCGCTTCCTTCCTCTACGATTTCTCCTGCGAGCTATCCGGACGCAGGATGCGTTGGGGGGTCGGTGGGAATGTCGGGGTGGGGGTTCGTTTCAGCGGTGTAAAAATTTGATGCGTTTCTTCCGGTTGGTGCTTCCGAGCCGGTGGGATTTTTTCGATGTGGCGCTTTGCGGGCGCCTTTTTGTTTAGATTTTTCTTTTTCATCTTCTTTTGACCCAAATCGCGTAGTGCATTGCGTAGTGGGGAGAAAGTGGGAGCTCATCTTGATCCAAAGGGTACCATATGAAGAGAGATAATTGCTAAAATCCTTGTCCCTGAGAATCGCGTTGTTTCGAATCAGCTAAGATAATGCTAAAAATCAAGACATCCAAATGAACTAGAGTAGGGTGAGGAGATGTTGAAATGCTGGTGGTCAAATTCGCGAGGAATTGATCACACATATGTTGTGTTTGTGCCCCTAGAGGACTCTAAAATACCCAATAAATATTGCCGTCTGATGGCCTAGCTGGATTGTGATATTGCCATATGCTTTTGGTGGTTCTGGTGCCTTATGAGTTATGTGAGCATCTGCTGAAACTCTTGAGTGAAATAATTGATGTACGTGCCAAGATGAACCGAGTGGCAAAGCTGTTTGGGTTCTCAGAAGTCCATTGCTGAGAGTGATGTCTGATGATATTGTGAGACGGAAAAGTTCGAAGTTTCTTTTGCATGTATTTAGCATACTGCTTGAGTAAGAAACTGTCGGTTATAACAATGAGAACATGATACTGGGATAGATCAGCAGCAGAAGGATGTGGATTTAATTAACCATGCCAATACCAGTCATTCTTATGTGTTTTTGTGCGTGAAGCAACACTAGTTTCCTCTGTATGAATAATCTATGCACTGAACTGTCACTCGCTATAGATATTTTTCTGCACATTAAGGTGGACACTGCATATCCCTCGGGCAATTTCTTTTTGTAGATATAATGCGTAACAAATGTGACTTTACATATTGTAGAACCTGGCATGTAACTATGTAAGTTCCTCTCATTTGTAACTGACACTTATTATTGATGCACACTATGTGTTATGTGTCTATTTGGAAGTTAGTGTTCTTATCGTGAACTCTAGCCTACTGATACATACAGTCATCTATGATAGAAAATTCTGCTTAACACGTCATGTTCAGGATTTAGAGCCTTGTAGCATCGATGTAGATGAATCACATGAAAACATTGGAGGAACCGTAGGGGAAATAGTAGCAAATTTCTTGTATTCCCATGCAACTTCTTATTGACTCATGGTAATTTTGAGTTGTTGACTTTTTTTTCCAAGGTGTTGTTCTTAGTGTTCTAGGCTATTATAGCAACTACTTTTGTGAATTTTTGTAGCAATATACTGCTTAATATCTGGTGTTCAGCGTCAAGAAACATTGAACTAGCTGTATAACACTCACTATAAATGTTTTTTTGGGTGGCAATGATACTAGTTCATATTAACTAGCTAGGTAGCTGTCTTATTTGATAATAGAATTATGTGTTAAGAGACTCATAAATTTATCTCCATTCAGATTAGAGCAGGTGCAACTTATGACCTGCAAAGAAACAAGAGTAACCTCGAATCATTATTCTGCTATGACAAATCTGTTCCAGAGGAGGATATTGGAACACCAGCTGGTTTAGATTTGGAAAAGAAGAACGTTGGGAAGAATCCTCCTTGCATAAGCTGTGAAACTAAAGGTGCAGTGCTGTGTGCAACTTGTGCTGGTTCAGGCTTGTACGTCGACTCCATATTAGAAAGCCAGGGAATCATCGTAAAAGTCAGATGTCTAGGTATACAAGCTGATAATCATCTGTTTACAGTATTTTCCTTGCTACTATATGGATGACTCATGATCTGGTGTTGTAAATTCTTTAGGCTGCGGGGGCACTGGGAGCATTATGTGCTCAAAGTGTGGAGGCCGTGGACACACGTGAATTGACATGGTTTGGGTCTCAAAAGCAAGGCAATGCAGTTCAAGTAACATCTTCTAAGGCTACTTCGGTAGGGAATTCTGTTGATGTAAAGAAGCAAAGATATTCATAGTTGATTTTCACATAGTGCTGTTCGAACAATTTCTTTGTATCAATTAATCTGATGCTGAGGCACCAGCTGTAAAATGACTTTTGTGAGAGCACCTGTTACAAAGGCAACGAACGATACCGGGGTTGTTTATATACGCAGCCTGCTGGTGTGATTTTCGACTGTTCAGATGAATCAACTCTACTGTTGTGGTACAGACGCTCAGACAGAACAAACCCCAGGAAGCAACACCTTCAGCTTCAGAGTTGCGCTTGAAGTGTATGCATCTGTATCGTTTTCCCTTCTTCAGTCTCAAGCTTAGTGCTGCTGTCATTTGTGAAAGAATGTTTGCAAAGAAAATGTTTGTAAACCGGCTACATTAATTCGTTATCAAATACTATAAAAGAAGCTAGAAAATAGAAACTCAAATGACAAGGAGCCATGAACATGAATAGCTTGTTATCAAAGTTTACAAAAGCTTGACATATATATGTAACTTGTGGTACTAGATGCAAAAAGTGATGCAGGGTCATCCTAATTAATACCTATCCCACCCCCAACTAATATGCTTCTCTTGAGCGGTGGAGCAACACCCCCCTGCAAATCCACATGCATTTTCCAAGCCCCAAAACCAAAGCAAGGAATACTTGATCACCTTGCCTTTGCCCACGCAGGTATCTGGCAATGTGGCGTTCTACAAGAGAAAAACAATGCAGCCAGGCAGCCGATTGGTCACTTGTCCACAAAGGAAGCCATGTCCGATCCATCCAAGAATCATATTCTTCTCCTCTTGAGCCTGCCTATCACTGATGACTATATATGCATCGGCCACAAGAGGTCATCGTCATCAAGCATTCCCACATCGATCAGCAGCAGCAGCAGAGTAGAGGCATATTTGCAACGAAGCGATCGTTCTGCAGCAGCCCGAGGTAGGTAGCGATCTAGCGAGGGCCATGGACACGAGGGGCGTCATCCGCACCTTCGAGGAGTACGACGCCGCCGTCGAGTGGAGCCGCAGCGCCGAGGCCGACGCCGTCAAGATCTCCCTCCCAGGCAAGAACACGATCAACTCGATCCATCTCTCTCTAGATCAGCTGGGTTTGCTTCGCGTCCATTGATTTTTGCGGATGCGCGTGTCATGGTGGTGCAGGGTTCAAGAGGGAGGAGATACGGGTGCTGGTGGACAACCACGGCCACCTCCGGACGCGCGGCGAGCGGCCCGTCGCCGGCAACAGGTGGAGCCGCTTCCAGAAGGACTTCCAGCTCCCCGCCGACTGCAACGTCGACGGCATCCGCGCCAAGTTCGAGAACGAGGCGCTCACCATCACGCTCCCCAAGAAGACCCCCTCGCCGCTGACGCCGTCGCCCACGCCGTCGCCGGTGACGCCGCCGCCGCAGCAGCCGCCCCAGCCCGAGCCCAGGAGGCCGCCCGCCGCGCCGCTTCCCGGGGTGCGGACGCCGCCGTCGCCGCCTCGCAGAGCGCCAGCACCGGCGCCGGCGCCGCTGACGCCTGCTCTTTCCCAGAGGTTCCTGGCGGAGCGCAGACCAGCGCCGGTGCCGGAGCCGGTGACCCGGAAGAGGTCCGACCTGGGCACCCTCATGAAACCCAAGGAGGACAAGGTGGAAGAGACCACGAAGCCTCTGCCGCCGCCGGCTGCAGCGGCGGCGGCGGCGGAGGAGGAGGAGGAGAGGATGGCAAGGGAGGCAAGAGGGAAGATGGAAGAAGACAAGAAGAAGGCCAACGAGGAGGTGACGGACATGGCGCAGCTGAGGAGGCCGGCCTCGGCGAGCCGCCGGCAGCTGGTGAACGTGGCGGTGGCGGCCGTGGTCCTCCTCGGCATCACCCTCTACGTGTGGAACACCCTGAGGAACGCCGCAACCGGCGGCGGCGGCAACGGCCATGGCGCGAGCTACAGCGACGAGATGTGAAAAGAAAAGAAAAAAAAAAGGGCGCGAAAGTGTTGGAGGTGTCGCCGATCGAGTTTAAATGTTTAATGCGTGCTTCGTCTGGGAAGGGACAAAGCTAAAGTATATATGTGTGTGGATTGTTAATTTAATCACGCGGTGGTGTTACGACTTGCAAAAGACATGTTCTTTTGCTTTGGTGGATCAATTTGATGAAATAAGATGGTGAAAGAATGAGCACTTAAATCTTCTACTTGTCGTCTCTTTCTTCTTGTTTTACTCCTTGTGATTTGCAATTATAGTTCTAACTCCTCCCCAAGCATGCATATTGGCTAAGATGGCACAAAATCAATATGATTAATGAAAGGTTTAGTTACGAGCCCCAACTTGGCAAACCTCAATTTGTTGCGCTGAAGTGTGGTATATATGCCACCGATCCACAAAAATCTTGGATAAAATCAACACATTGATAGTATGTGGGGCAAAAGACTTAGCGAGATTTTCTCTGATTTCTCTGTTTCCTCTGTCTTTCTCTCCTTCTGTTTTTCGTTCTCTGTCTCCTCACCGTTTGGTGACATTGTACAGCTCTTCGCTCACTTGATATAAAACCAGCAACAGCTGGCTTAGGTTTCAAAAAAAGAAAAAAAAATCCACCATCTTGCTTCATATCACAAACCATCTCAGTACTTAGTAGGGCTTATTCGGAATGGAGGGATTACAGAAGATTTTTGTAGGATTGACAAATCTTTTGGATTTGGCACTGTTCATGCATTCGGTTCATAGAAATCACGTGAAGGAATTTTGTAGGAATACTGTAGCAACCCTGTGAAAACGTAGGAATTTCACAGGATTATGAGGGCCCCTTTGATTTGTAGGAAAAATGCAGGAATTTTGGAGGATTTCAATCCTATGAAAAAAAATCCTATGAAGGCCTTTGAAACAAAGGATTGAATCCTATCCAATCCTTTAAAATTCCTATGGAATGGGTAATCCTATGCACATTTTGGAGGAAAGTTAGCAAGAGGTCTAACCTCTTGGAACATTTCCTCTGAGTCTATCTCTCTCATCTGATTCCTGCGTTTTTCCTGTGGTCCAATCAAACAGCCATTCCTGTGTTTTTCTTGTGTTTTGTAATCCTCTGTTTTACAATTGTATTCCTGTCAGAATCATGTGTTTTTCCTATTCCTCTGTTTTTTCATTCCTACAATTCAAAGGGGCCCTGAACATCCACTCACACCTTATTTTTTTTTTCATTAGCTAGCACAGGGTACATGCTAATCACGTTGGAGTGACTAGATGGGAACTATATTTTATTGCTTAACTATACTATAATATATGAGATCAATATTAATTGGAAAATTCTTATGATTTATATATTTCTGTATTCCAAATGCTTCTTACCATCAAATTCCTTTGTTTTTCAATCCTACGTTTTACATATACAATCCTATATTATTCCTGTGTTTTTTCCTGTTCCTATGTTTTTCCTATCCTGTGATCCGAACAAGCCCTTAAATATCTTTACCATAAAATGTGCCAATTTTCAGCCCAACTCTTTTTATTTTTAGCATAAAAATGTACTAAATTTTAACCCAGCCCCTTACATTTTGTAAGCTAAAAGGTTAGACCCATTACTACCCTATGCATATGACCTCCTCCCTACAACCTTTGTGCTACTGACCATTTTGTTGGAGCGAAATGACAAGAATTTTCAGAAATGTAACCTACGACGCAGCTGATGGTGAGCAAGAACAAAACAGAGCTGCAATTCAGGCGGGACTCAGGACTCGATCAGGAGCAACCTCAGCATGCCTACTACTGTTCCCAATCCTAAAATTTTAGATTTTTAATTTTAAAAAAAGATGGATCCAACGGACCTCCAATTATAGATAAAAAAAAAAGTTAGAAATCACAACCCCATTATTCTCACTCCCCACAAGTTGGAGAGACCGCTGGCTCCCAATATGCCAATCCCGGATAGTTCACATGCACTACCGAAATGTGCCATTGTGAGCTCGTCCACAGCTGGCGGCCTACGATTCACATCACCGGCCACCGAGATCCTCCTCTGCACCATCACGCGCGCTAACAAAATGTTCACGTTGTCTCAAGCTTGTTTGTTGCCGCTTGGATTCGTGTCGGCGAGGGCCATCAATTTGCGCCACTGGCCACCGGATCCTCTCACACCCTCTCCTCTAGCTGCCCTTGTTGCCATCCACCACCAGACAAAAACCACCTCATCGTGCCCCAATCTGTTCGGCCATCCACGAGAAAGGCAGTAGACCAAGATAAGATGTAGAGGTGGAAGAAAAGAGAAAAGAAGGAGGGATTCATAGGTGGCCCCAATGTCCCATTTGTTAGATTGATTTATATGGGAGGAAAGGAAATATTTTGGTAGTTTTTTAGGTGGCCCCACTTTTTATTGCTATGTTCGACTGTACTTTTTGGTTGTAGTGCATCCAACATAAATAGTATGATATGTCTGCATACACTACAGCCGCGGGTATTGTAACTACTGCACCGTGTAGCCAAACATGACCATTACAAGGAGTCATGTTCGCCTAATCTGTTAGGGCTTTAAATCCTAGTTAGAAAACCAAAATATTTAGGGAGTGGATTAATGGGGTATCTCTTGATGATGTTTTTAGTGTTGTTACCACCTGGAATTTTCTCATGCTTCCCATGGAAACTGTTGTTTCTTAGTTACCGGTAATATGCTCATGCTTTGCAACAGATCAGACCCATAATTAGGAATTAACTGGATGGGTAGATTGAGGATAAAGCACGGGCTAGAAACGTTTGAGGAGAAAGTGCTGGGTTCTACGATGGTTACACATACACAAAGAGGACAAAAGGAGAACAACCCCGTTTTTAAAGCAGTAGAGATACTTTGAGGTGATCTAATTTTTGTTTTATACACGGACCTATAGGATGTGTATCTTATTTTTCTCCCCTCTTTCAATGAAAAAGAATGCAATAAATATCCTCTTATATATTATTAAAAAAGTGGCATGCCGGAATATTTTGTGCTAGCAAATTGTTCATCCCAAGTTACACATGATTTCACGAAGATTAAATGGAACTGATGTTGAATATATATTGTGATATATCATGGTTGTATCAATGTTGGACTGTGGATGTAATAGTAATTGCTGTTAATGAATCATATGGTGCTGGATGTGGATTACTTCTTGCCTGTGAATCGAGTGATGAAATCAAATGATCAATCAGTATCAAATGGTAGTAACTGGAATAGTCAAAAATGGTATTTCTTAGGCAAAATTTGCTACAGAACACTTAAAAGAAGTGTGATTAGCCGTGGGATACCGCAAAAACATAAATTGGTTGTAGGACATCGCAAAATAGTAATTAGCTACTGGACACGGGAGACATTATTTTATTATTTTCGGTGAAAACAGAGAAAGAAAGAGTGTTAAAAGTACTGAAATGCCCCCGGCCTTCTCACCTCCATTGCCAAGTTTCTTCTTCTTCACCTCGCAAGGGAGACAGTTCAATTATTCGAACGATCGATGGGGAACTCGTACAGCAATGTCGGCTCGCCGACGGCGGCGGGGTATGTGCAGGCGCCGGAGCTGCCGCTGCACCTGTGCTTCTTCCTGGTGGTGCTGCTCGTCTTCCTCGGATTCTCGTGGTACATGAGCTACGAGTCGGCAGCAGAGCGGTTCGCCAACCAGGCGCGGCTCCTGCTGATGGCGTCGCCGCTCGCACTGTTGCTCACCCCCCGGACCCTGCGTCACTCGAGCCGTCGCTGCTCTTCCCGTCGTTGGGCGCAGCCCGGCACCGTGTTCACCATCCCGGTGTTCCCGGAGCAGTAAGAGGTCACTGCCGCCACCTTCGTCTGCCAGCTCACCCCATCCCCGCCTCTCCTCCCCGCCGTCCTCATCTCCTGCAACGGCCGGCGCGGGCCGTCGAGGCGGAGTCGGAGGTGGCGTGGTCCCGCCGCGGCTGCAATACTGCCCCGCGCTCGCGCCTGGCTGTACGTGACGCACTCCACGACGGCGGTTGAGGCGGCGCCGGTGGTGAATTTGCCGGTGCTTCCCGACACGTGGAGGAGTGCGCCGGCGCGGCGGAGCGTGCTCTGCTCGCGGTGGGTTCGTCGCCGCCACCACCGCTAACGTCACAGGTGGGAGTGAACGGGACGACAGCAGCGTGCGACGTCGTGCTATTCTGCTACTGTCGGGTGAGGCTGAGGCGGCCAGCGTGCGCGGCGCCGGCGGGGAGGGCGGCGAGGAGGCTGGAGAGGTAGTGCTCGTGGCCGGGGGCATTTCAGTACTTTTAACGCTCCCTCTCCTTGTTTTCACCAAAAATAATAAAATAATGTCTCTAGTGTCCAGTAGCTAATTACCACTCTTTTGTGATGTCCTACAGCCAATTCACGTTTTTCAATGTCCCACGGCTAATTACACATTTTTTGAGTGTCCTGTAGTAAATATTGCCTATTTCTTATCAGCCAAAGTGATAAGAAAATAGTCAAGCTTTTTTCGAACGTGCAAAAAATTTACAGATTAATATATTAGAAAAAATAGTCAAGCCTGACGGGATTTATCTTCATGTTGGTTGCCCCCGCCGGGTCCTGACGTCCAACGGTAATGAATTATCATGACGGCTATCCTTAGTGGTGTGCTGACAAAAAGTATTTCTCTATCGATGAGCCATCAGACATTTATCACTTGGTTTCGTTTTACCTATCCTAGGCCATGACAAAAGTTTTGATAAAAAAGTCATATCAAATGTTTAGACACATGCATGTGATATTAAATGTGGAGAAAAAAAACAATTGCATAGTTTGCATGTAAATTGCGAGACGAATTTTTTGAGCCTAATTACACCATGATTTGACAATGTGATGCTACAGTAAACATTTGCTAATGACGGATTAATTAGACTTAATAAATTTATCTCACAATTTACAGGTGAAATCTGTAATTTGTTCTGTTATTAGTCTACGTTTAATATTTCAAATGCGTATACGTATACTTTAAAAAACTTTACACCCAAAGAACTAAACACGCCCTATGTATATATCCTACTAGCATTAGTGAGTTCTCTTCTATATGTCTATGAGAAATTTTATGGTATCTTCTAGCTTAAAGACCATAAAATTACTTATATATTGTGAATTTAATGTTATGTGAGGAAATAAAAACAGAAGGGGGTATTTTCTGAAGTTAGGCTTCATAACACAGAGGCAACATGCTTGTACGCAGTACTTCAATGTACTCTTATCCAACAACAATAGAAGAAGGTAAATTTCACAATTGCAGTTACACTACGATATGTAGATTCCCAATGTTTGTAGCACGGGAGGCATACCACATACATACATTGTACTTCCCCCAACAAAGGAGCGTACACCTTGAAGTTGATCGGTTGAAGCAAAACATCTGAGACCAGCAGAAGCAAAGAAAGGTGTTTGCCTAGCCTAGCAACTAGTACCATTACCGTATAACTCTTCTAGGAGGCAACACTATCACCAAATATTTATTTCTTACTACTATAATCTAACACTACAATCCAACCCTATATACCCTCGTTGCCATCTGTCTTAACCAATCTTGTTGCTGAAAGTGAAAGAGCCCAAACGAACAGAAAAGTGTACAATATCATCGTGCAAACTCATATATCATGCAGGCAGCGACCGCTGCCGCGGCGGCGGCTCCCCCGCCGCCTCGCCGCCACGGTTACGCGAACGTCGATCCCCGGTGCGAGTGGACACGCACGGAAGACGCCGACACCCTCGTCGTCGATGTCTCAGGTAAAAAATAAAATTCATGATTGTACCACGACTCGTGGTTCACATTTTTGGATAAGAAATTTCCGAAAAAAAAAACACCCGAACTTATCTGAATTATTCAGCATAAAATTTCTTGGAATTCAGCCAAAAAACTGTTGAATGACTTGCGAATTGCCTCTCGTGAGGGATTTATTTATTTGTTTTGTTGGTTTCAGGGTTCAGGAAGGAGGAGCTGAAGGTGCTGTACAACACCAGCCGGAAGCTGAAGGTCGCCGGCGAGCGGCGGGCCGACGGCGGCCAATGGGCACGCTTCCTCAAGATGTTTCCGGTCCCGAGGAGCTGCGACGCCGGCGCCATCAGGGCCGTCATGGACAACGAGGAAGCCCTGCTCTACGTCATCCTGCCCAAGGGATCATCGTCTTCTTCCTCCTCCTCCAGGGACAAGAAGGAAGATGAACACAATGTGAGCTCCCAGCCTCAGGGAGAAGCAGCCATGGCGCCCATGGCGGATGGGCCATCAAGCAGCAGCGGCGGCGGTGGCAATCTGTACATCGCCCAGGAAGACGAAGAGATGGGCAAGATTGATGAGAAAGAAGAGGTGATTGCCACGCAGGATGTGCCAAGAACACACGGCGATGTGGATGATGGTAACGGGAGATGGTGGCAGAGGGTCAGGCCTATGAATGTTCTTGGCGTTGCTCTCATCCTTGCAGTGGCTTGCGTTGGAGCCTATGTGCTGTGCTTGATGCTGCTGTGAATCGTAGCATGTGAATTAATCGCTTGTGTAAATGTGTTTGTTGCTCATGTGAATTACAATTGTCACTGTTAGCTTGGGACTGGTTTGCTACATACGAGCTCATCAATGAATGTGAATACAATAACATATATGGCATTCTGCTTTCCTAGTGTTAGATTCTAGTTGTAAATTGTAACGCTTCTGTTTTGCAATTCAACTCATGGAGCTCAGAAAAGGAAACAGTGGACGATGCAATTCGATGCGAATTTGTGATTCTGTTTTGTTCTAAGAGAAGACAATGCCCCAAACGCAGCCTCAAATTACCCACCAAATGGCGATGTTGGCTCTTTTCAACAAGCAAAGATAAGCACTATTGGACACCTCAATTTTGCACTATTGGAAATCTCATTTTGCGCTGGCAAGCTGGGTGCGGATGAGCTTGGCAGCATCTACCATGTTGGTTAGTGCAGGTTTCACCTCGGTGTATTTGCGGGTCTTGAGACCGCGGTCAGGGTTCACCTAGAGGATGTTGGTGTCAAGCACGGCAAGCATCTTGTTGATGCGGTCCGCGATCTCCTCGGTGGAGGGGATCCTGGGGGAGTGGATGTCATACACACCCTCGCGGAAGACGGACAGGAGCTTCTCATCGGTTCGGGAGTTCTCGATGGAGCTCCTGGATAATTACACTCCTGAATAGAGCGGAGCTGCTGCTCTACTGCTACTGAAAATTACACTGCGAATGTGGAGCGGCATTCTCACCACTCCTTAGTCCGTTCTGTCCTCAGTATAGGAGCTATACCAAACGGACCCTAAATATTAATAACTTCTCTATATATTTTGTGGTTTTTTACCATCTACGATATATTGCTGAAATATCATGGTTATATGGGCTTATATATACTCACGCTCTCATGCTTTTAAAAGGATAGTAGCCGATGTGTATTTGGTCACTCCTCTTAGAAAAGGACGTGTTACGACTAGGGTTTGTAATACTGTATGAAAACTATTGGGGATCAAATCCAAGCGGTTTTAACTAGTTTTCGTACCAAGTTGACCGAAAGCACACTTATGTTTTGACAATCCTAAGATATATACAGATCTTAAAGCAACTCCTGTTAAAATAGAAATCTGTCAAAGAAAGCTTACTAAATTTTATTTTCTTTTTAGATTCAAAACTATGCTAAGTTATGGACCCCTTTAATATTATTCTGATATTTTATAGTCATAGCCAATATATTTCACATAGAATTTCACCTAGGTAGGGTACACTACAAACGCCTTTACAACAAATAATCCTTTAATATAATTGTAAAAGCGTAGGTGTATCAGACAGTTTAAATTTTGGTGTACACAAATATAAATATGTGCATCTATATAAAAAAACAACTAATAAACCCTTTTAGTGAACCACTATAAATTTTGAGTGATTCCTGCCACTAGGAGTACACGACTTAGCACAATTAATTGACTAAACACACACCTACTTTTTAATTGGAAAATAAAGCTAATAGTAAGCTGTATAAATAATGGAGAACAAGAGGAATTCATGAAAACACACAACTTGGAGTTGGAAAAAAGAAGAAGAAATTGGTTTAATAGCACTGAAAGTTCACGACTTTAAAAATATGGCACTCAAATGTTCTATTTTATTTTAATAGCATCGAAAGTTACCCTCCATTACTCTACTTAGCATTCCGTTAAAAACCACTCTTATCTTTTGCAATATCATCATTTTGCTTTATTCCTTCTCACATTCCCTTTCTTCTTCCTTGGGCACACAAGTAGGAGGAGTTGTGGCAGCAGGAAGCAACCTCGAGCACAAGATTGATGGAGGAGCTCAACCGCTAATACCATGGTAGACCTCGAGGGCATGCATCATCAGGCAAATTCCAGGACATCGAAGGTGGCAGCCACAGGTAGGTTGACGGCGGTGGCCGCACAGCTCAAAGCCGGCAGCTAGGGACAAGCTCGACGATCAAGGCAGTGGGGGATAAGCTTGAGGGTGTCGGCTTGGGTGAGCTCGCGGCCGTGGCTGCGGGTAGCTGGGGAGCCCGAGGGCACGGCCTGTGGCGATCTCGATGGTGGCCGGGCCGGGTGAGCTCGAGGGCATGGCCTGGTGCTAGCTCGACGACCACATCTAGAGGCTAGAGCAATCTTGATGGCGTCCAAACAGGCAAGATTGAGGTCGGTGGCTGATTATGAACTCGAGGACGGCTGCACAATTTTTTTGTGTGTGTTTTAGTTTTTGAAAAAAATGATAAAGTAAAGAAGTTAACCGAATTTTGAATGGAATGCTGAATAGAGGAATGGAGAGTAACTTTCGGTGCTATTAAAGTGAAATAGAACTTTAAGTGCTATATTTCTAAAGTCGTGATTTTTCGATTACCAAACCCCGGCCAGAGCCAACCAAACAAGGCTATCATGCAGACTTCCGTGTATATGATCAGGCCAACAACAGAAGATCTTCCAGCTAAGAATGTACCGGAAAAGGGAAAAGATTCTGGGCTGATTGGGGGCAATAGTTGAGACCTTCAAATACAGGATACAAATATGGACCAATGTCAGTGCCTCAGAAGTTATTGGTAGAGGTTCACAGAAAGAAGGCCAGCTGAACAGGTGCCTGCACGGTTTTGAGTAAGAAAACAAGTACAGCAACATGAACAGGAGATGGGGGTAGTATATATACTCAACCAACGTTAGTACGTTACACAACCAACCTCTTGTTCAGCTAGGTATATGGAACCAACCCCATTTTATTATTGTTGGCCTAGACAGTTAAGTCAACCATCACCACAGAAAAAATTCAAGGTACAAGAGAAAAGGGGAAAGAGGCAACTCATGCGCTAAGTTACAGAATGACACAAGGACAGGCAAAAAACATCAGGAAGTCCAGCATCAATGTGATTCTTTGGCGGCCTCAATCTCTGATGTGCTTTCGACCATCACAATCACAGGGCTACAGCTGAAATACTGAGAGCTACGAGTTTAGAGCAACCGCGCTCTGCGACTCTACAGTCTTCAGGACTTCCTCTCCCATTCGCTTGCATCCGACCAAGGTCTGGTTAAGAAAGATAAGTTTTCAAAGGGGAGAAAAAGGGAGCACATATAATTGGTACCTCTGTAGCACTAGTTATACAAGTAGCGAAAGTTAACAAATTTGAGGTGCAACATAAGCTAAAAGAAACTGATTGTTTGATCTATGCTACATAATAAGGTAGAGTTGAATTTCCTTTTTTCAAGTTGAATACTCCCTCCATCCCAAAATATAAGAACCTAGGACCGGATAGGACATTTCCTAGTACAACGAATCGTTGTAATAGGAAATGTCCCATACGGTCCTAGGTTCTTATATTTTGGGACCGAGTACATGATAAGTTGATAACTAGTCCCAATATATCACACTTTTTTTCTATGCTCACTGTATAAAACAATAAATAATTATCCCTAGGTAGCCACCAACTATTTGGTATGCAAGTAGATTATACGAAGCTAGTAACCATTATTAAACCTCAGTTTGGCAGAAACATAGCAAATAGCTACTAGACACTGGACATCTTCAACAGGACAAATACAAGCATTGTACTATTCATGGATGCATAACAAATCAGTCTTACCGTTCCAGGAGAATATATGTCCCCAGTTCGGAACCCGTTGTTTAGTGTCTCTGTAACTGCGGCTTCAACTCTCTTTGCAGCATTTTCTTCTCCAAGGCCATACCGCAATAGCATGGCAGCACTAAGAATTGTAGCTAATGGGTTTGCCTTATCCTGCACTCAATAATTAATAGAGGAAGCAAACATTCAGATAAAGCTGCATATTAAAGGCCAATGTAGAGTTTTAACAATATTTCAGAGTTAGAGGTCATCTCAACCTGCCCAGCAATGTCGGGCGCAGAACCATGAATAGGCTCAAAAAGACCTGGTCCCTGCATACAAAAGGAGAATACTTAGCTGTCATACATCCATCATTTTCATCAAAAAATCAGTGTCTAAAAAATGCAGAGAAGTTTTGGCCATGCATTACCGATTCACCAACACTGGCAGATGGGAGCATTCCAATGCTTCCAGTAAGCATTGATGCTTCATCAGACAATATGTCACCAAAAATATTGTTTGTGACAATTGTGTCAAACTGCAACATTGCAGGGAATTCAGTGGGTTAATGCTCGCTTTCTCAGCAAGGTGCAATAAGTTGCATATAAAAGAAACAAACCTGCTTAGGATTCCTAATAAGCTGCATTGCTGCATTATCAACATACATGTGCGACAGCTCAATGTCAGGGAATTCAGAAGCTAATGAAGTCACCCGTTTTCTCCAAAGCATAGATGCCTACAATAATATAAGAATGAAAGAGCCATGTTAAACAACAGATCAAAAACAAACCTTTTTAACCTTTCAAGGGATTTACAAGTGTTAGAAAAATGATAAGTAATGATATGTGAATCCAATTAAGTATCCAAGATAGAAACACCAAATCTATGTTTGTACTTTTTATTTCGCAATCATATGACAACCACATACATGTTTGTTATAGCGTCCATGCTCAGTTTAAGAATCAAGTCAAACAGAAAGGATCAAGGAACACTTCCATACAACATATACTCCAACATGAAGTTTCACAACATAAATGTATCTTGAAGTACCTCAAGCACATTCGCTTTGTCTACTGAGCAAAGCTTCCCGCGCCTCTTGCGAGCAACCTCAAATGCAACACGTGTGATTCGATCAATCTGGGGATCAAGCAAAATTCCATGAACACATAAAATTGTTGGAGGTGAATGCATTCTTAAAAAAAATAATATTAAATGAACATTTCTTAGTTTGCAATTAAATACAGACACGTGACCAGATATCATGTCTAGACAGATATTTGTGAGAAAATAAATGTCGAAGCTGTATTTGAAGTTTAGCCATGCACATTCCTGGCACCACCACCCATGTGGGACTATGACTTGTCCAAGAAATAACTTTTCAGTGGAGCAAGATGCTAAAATATGTAATGAAGGATAGAATCACCTCAGAAGCTGAATATACTTCAGTGTTGAAGCCAGTGTCTTCTCCTTTGTCGTTCTTTCCAAAACCCCTAGGTTGGCCGAAGTATATTCCTGCCAGGCAAATGTTGTAACAAGTTCCATAAGAATGTATATGAAGTATCAATATGAAAAATTAATGAGAAACCTCCATGCTCCTTAATTAATATTACCTCCTGTAAGCTCTCTAACAACCATGATGTCGACTCCTTCAGCTACTTCTTTTTTCAAAGTAGATGCATCTACTAACTAAAGAGATAATTAGCTCAAAGGAAAAAATAACTACAGGTAGTCCTCTTGAATACTATAGGAATATAGGGGCAGCATAGCTAGTACATAAACATTAAAAAAAATGAAGATTGATATTAACTACTTTCCCTATCACTAAATATATATGTCCTAGAATATATGCAGTCAAACAGTATTATATTCACCATTAGTAATTTTCCAAACGAAATCAAGATTGCCTACATGAAGTTGGTATACTACATCTGTACATCCATCATGGATTATAATTTAAAAATATAATTCATAATAGATTTCTTTTGTGGTTGATGACAACATAATATAATGGAATGGGCAGGCAATGCATATTTAGTGAAAAAGGAGAACTAGAGAAAATTAAGCCAGCTCTATATAAGCATGCATATTTAGAGGAAGGAATGACATTGCAACTGGAGCTAACTTCAAAACGACATTACAGAAGGAAAAAAACAAACAAAAATCTTTTGGAATATCCCGTCATATTCTTTTGAATATGAAACACTCCTTCCACACCCATTTCTGGTAAGTGTCCATTACTAGCCACTACAGGGAAAGAAATCACTGTCATTTTACCATTCATCATGGTGTAATATGCCATAATATGCCTTCACAGTGCCATTGTGAAGACAAGCTTCATTTGCATTGTTATTTGTTTAAATTAAATACGGATGTTTGAAGGTTACTGACATAGTTTTCCCTATCTATTAATAGCAGCATCGCATGCACTAATGTAGTTACAACCTTGAATGTCCGAGACAGTTCAGCAGTCAATTCAGATACCCCAGATCGTGGTAATTGTTCAAAATTGGCATTGGCACAGATTACTTCAGGAGATGTTCTACCATCATTTCAACTCCATAAAGCTCAAAGCAACTAAAAAGATGTCGCTATTTAAACGAATAATACTGATCAAGCGAATTGCACTGAACTGAACTAAGGTGGGAGTAGGATATACCTGAGGCAACACTGCAGCTGGCCTCAGATTAGCAAAGACGCCAAGCCCAGCGCGTATCTGGAGCAACCCAGTCTCTGGCTTGAGGTGCTTCTCATTGTTATCCCACTTATACCTACAAAGCACAGCATTGTATCAAACTATCCCGGAAGTCAGAACGCGAATTCTGACCCAGCCGAAAACAAACTCTCTGCGGGTACTGCTGCGGCATCTACATTTCTAGTCGAACAAACCGCTCACCCTCCTATGGCGCCGAGGAGGACGGCGTCCGACGCCTGCGCCGCCGCGAGCGTCTCCTCCGGGAGCGGCACGCCGTACGCATCCACCGCCGCGCCGCCCATCAGCTTCTCCTGGAAGCGGAACTCGACGCCTGTGGCGGAAGGAAACAACAAGGGGGGTCATACTGCTGCTAGCAATCGGGGGCTAACGCGTAGGGCCGAGAGAGAGCGAGAGTGAGAGAGATTGATTCGAAGCCTTGCCTTCGAGAGCGCCGGCGAGGGAGAGGACGTCCTTGGCGACGGCGACCACCTCCGGGCCGATGCCGTCACCGGGGAGGAGCGTGACGTTGTAGCTCCTCTTCGCCGCGGAGCAGCGGACGGCCGCCATCGGGCGCCGCGCCGTCGCCGGCGCCGGCGGCGCCATCCGCCGACGAGGCGACAAGGCTAGGGTTTTGATGAGGGGATTAGCTTGGATTGACATTTTTTTTGTGTTTCTTTTTTTTTTTTTGCAAGTTTAGTGGTCGGAGACTTGGTGGTGGGCTTGGGCTTTGCCCTTGCTTTGTTGGTGCTGAAACGCGTTTAAAACCGGCAGCTCTCGGGAAAACCACCGGAGTCAGAGCTGCCGCGCGGTTGTGTTGTGCCCTGCCCTTCGCCCGAGAGAAGAGTTGCTTCGGTGGATCACGGTGCTCTTATAGCATGTAGGCACCGCACAACTTCGTCTCCCGTCTCCAGCAGCTCGCGTTTCTTCCACGTCGCGACGAGGATAACCAGCGAGCCGTTAAGTCTGGATAACTAATAGTAACGTTTTTCAATGATCGACTGATGCTATAGATATAAAAAGAGAAGAAATATGTTTGCGGTATGTTATGAGACCCTTTGATCGGACCTGCTAAAACCATACAACCAGTGAGGGTTCAAGCCCAAGACGTCGAGTCTGTCGGGACAAAGTCCCCATGGCGAAGACTATCAAGCAAAGACGGCGAAGGGCGAAGGATCGCGCTGTTATCCAACAAGGTTGGAGGCATCTTGGACGAAGGATGTATGGCAAAAGCGGATGGATTCGCCATAACAAGTTCAACTTCAAGGAGGCCCAAGAGGCCATCTCAGCCAATCAAGCCCGGGGGCCACTGGGCCAGCGTTCGCCAGTCGGCCCACTAGAGGCCCATGTATCTCAATTACATTATATACCCATGTAAATGTCCCTTTCATAAGGGCAACCACCCTGTAAAACCTAAACCCTAATAAGGGAACCTGTAATGAGATTATAAATAGACCCCTAGGGTCATGTAAAAGGGGATCCCAAGAAAAATTCTCAATTTAATTCATTTTACTGCTTTCCAACTACTGTTAAGTAACCACGTCTTTCAACGTATACGGTTGTTATTTCGACAACAAAATGCTATTTGCAAGCGTCCAAATCCAAGAAATACCATCAACCAGCGTGAGTTCTAAAAAAATGTCATCGTACAAACAATTTTGTCCTAAAAATATCATCGCCGTTAGGGTTCCATCTACCCCACGCTGTTAAATACACAGTTCATCATATAGCATTTAACGGCGAGGGATGGACGGAACCCTAACAGCGATGGTATTTTTAGGACAAAATTATTTGTACGATGACATTTCTTGAAACTCACACTTAAAAATGGCATTTGTTGAGTTTAAACGTTTGTCAATGGCATTTTTTGGATTATCTCGTATAAAAGATTATTAGCGTTGCATACTATAGCGTTGGATACTTAGGAGTTAACTCCGCCACATACATATTTTTAAATAGATTTAATTAAAATATCATATATAAGAGTTTAACGTAGAATAGCATTATAATTTTCATGTACGTTTTACCATGTTTGCTAAATAAATAATTAATTTTTTTCTTATATTGATTCTGAAATATGAAGTACATTTGACACTTGGTTTTGCTTAAATTCATCTAGCCTTTCTCACTTCAATAACAAAATGAAAAATTTACTCTCTCTTTTTTTCTAGAAATGAAAAAAATTATCCAGTCGCTCTCAGTGGAGAAATTAGTGATGGCAGAGGGAAAAAAAGATTGCAAGGCTTAATATAACAGAGCGACCGGTGCAACAAACAATCAATTAGAGTGAAAATGGAGTTGATTTGGACGGATAATGATCCTACTATATCCTAACCCATATTTTTAAGCGGATTCGAAGTGGGTGTAGATAGTGTACAAATGTGGATGCGGAGTGGATTGTTTCGAATGTCAAAAATGGCACGAAGTCGGTGCGGATTAATTTTGTCAAATATTATGTGTGTATGCAATCGATACAACGTGAAGTTAGTAATTCAAGGAATAATAATACAACAATCAAAGAACGACCCATGCAATAATTATATACTTAAGTGCTAAACAACATGAAAACATGATGTCTATAATATAAAAATGCAGCTACGCAAGTGTAATATGAGACGGTAAAAGCCTGAAACTAAGAAATCTAGATTAATTGATGAATTAGGTCACTAGATGGGCCAGCTTATATTATATGTAACAGATAGAATGTTTATATGTATTGATAATTTTGGATTATCCGATAAACTGCTTATCGGATAATCTGATAGAAATATTGAATAATCTGCATCCGTCGGATTTTAGAAATACCACATTCACATCTGAATTCGTATCATTACTATTTATATCCACAAGATTTTTAAAAACTCATCCTATATTATCGTTTTGGACGAATTTGGAACGGATTGTTATCCGATCCATTTTCACCTGTCGATTTTGCTATATCTCACTCGAAAGATTTTTTCTTATCTCTCACTCGATTTTCTCACTCAAATTTACAGTGCATTTTCTTGTAAGTTATAGTGTAATTTATGAAACTTACACTGTAACTTTTGTAAGTTACACTGTAATTTTTGAATCTTCACATGTAAATTTTAAATTTTGTATTTGATTTGGTCTTTTTCTTGAGGATATGGTAATTTAATGTTCATTATGGTGTTTCTTAATTGCTTTTTGCTTTTTATTATATCTATCGGATTTTAATACAAAGATTAAAAATCTGTGTGATACGATTATAAAAATCTTTCGAAAGATGTATAGGTACTCCCTTCACCTGTCAACTACTGTTGTTATGGGCCTAGAGAGGCCCACCTACTTCCGCACTAGTCCGTTCTGGACCAAATTAGGGAGGGCGTTTAGAGCCCAAATCGTCACGGCCTGCTCATTGTCGGCCGAATCCCGTTTTCTCATTCCAGCCTTCCAGGCAAGCAACACCATTTCCTGCAAAGTCAAGTTTAGAAACGCCAGATGGGTACCATAACCAAAGTCAAAATTAAAATTTCAAACTTAATTTTCAAGTTGATTTTAAGATATTTCCAACACAGGTTTTTTAATATTAACTTTTAAGTCGTTAAAAATACATATATAAAAATTTTACTTATAAATTACTCCCTCCGTTTTAAAATGTTTGACGCCGTTGACTTTTTAGCACGTGTTTGACCATTCGTTTTATTCAAAAAATTTAAGTAATTATTTATTCTTTTCATATCATTTGATTCATTGTTAAATATACTTTCATGTACTCATATAGTTTTACATATTTCACAAAATTTTTTGAATAAAACAAACAGTCAAACATGTGCTAAAAAGTCAATGGTGTTAAATATTTTAAAACGGAGGGAGTAATTTTTATTCTCTACTTATTAGAGAATATAGACTATTGATGAGGCTGCAAGGAACTTGCTGATTCAACTCGTCAATCTCAAATATGCCGGCCCAGTCTTCCGGAGGTGCTCATAGGGGTAGGATGTGCGTGTGTGCGTTCATAGGGGGTGAGTGTGCGCACGTTGTGAGCGTCTGCGTTTGTGCTGTGTTTCTCAAAAAAAAAAAAAACTCGTCACCTAAACTAGAAAAAGAACTCGTTACTTTAATGAGCTGATTGCCCTAACCAGTATACAGCCATGGAAAAATGGCAACTACCCGTTTAGCTAAGATTTTGTACGGTGTAAAAGAAAATTTAAATCAAGCATGATGAAACATTTGACCAAAGCAATTTCTTTTCTGAAAAGACATATTTGTGCTTTTTGCAGCACGAAGGGGGAAAACATTGTCTCTTGTACAGTATCAATTACTATAGTTTCGCAGGAAATGCTGGAACAAGTCGTCAAGGGGCAGTGAGCCAGGTTTAGATATCTCTCCAAGAAGAGAAAAATGAGAGTACAAAATTTTGAGCTGTTGGAGCGTTTAACAAGAGAACAACTCATTCTGTACATAACCTCACATTTGAGCTGACCATTTGACCAAACCCCTGAAAGAGCCAAAACAAACCAAGATTAACAATGCTCAATGTTTCTGATTAGGTTGACAAAAAGGGACTTCCAGGCATGCTTAATCGAGAGGGTAGGAAGGGGGGGGGGGATAACTTCTAGGCTCATGAAGGCAGTAATTGGGAGCTTAAATACAGGCTATAAACATGTATACAGCTATGCTCTAAGAGAATCCATGGGTGAAAAGGTTTGTTAAAGATCAGGGCCTCAGAAGCCACTAGGAGAGGTTAGTACAAATACAGCTGAAGAGCCGACGAGGTGCCAATGTGAAGATTATTCTTGCTCCACCTCGTCACCGGTTATCCCCTCATCTTCATCGTTATCGTCAGTGTCATCATCTTCATCATACTCATCGTCATCACTGCTGTCTGTGGAACCAAAAATTGCATCCTTTGCTGCTGCAGAATCACCAAAGCTGCACTGTCCTGGTTGTGCATGGCTTGAGGAAGGATGCACTGAATTGGGTATGCTGCCTGGTGGTAGCGAGGAGAGCGGTTGTGGGGCTAATGGTTTCAGATAATTTGGGACGCCTTCTCCAGGCCTAATGTGGATAGCACCTTTTGACTGTGCCGCTTTTATGATTGAAGCGGCATCAGATGGAGATGCAATGCGTGCACCTGCTGCGATGGCTGCTGCCCTAATAGAAGAACCCTCGGGAGTTGACCGAGGATCAGCATTGGTAGATTGAGATTGACAAAGACCGAATGACACATTGCCATTGCTAATCATGCTGCCAGAGTTCGTAGAATTAATCGCATCTGCATCGACAATAAGATGTAAATGAGTTTCAGTCAGAAGAATTGTCGATAAGTATTCATATTTAAACAGTCAAATTACTAGCATGCACCAATGAAACAAACATATATATATGTCATGGCACAAACTTAACAGCGAGGATGATTTGCAATAATTGGCAAAATCTGTATGCACAACTGGCACTAGATGTTAGGGACATCAACATATTTGAGTAGCGAAGTATAATAGTGTCAAAAGAAACCTGCAGATATCTTCGAGCTGTCCATTGAAGGCAAGCACAGTCCAACCGGGACTGTCACAAGCTGTGGCGAGGATGTAGAACTTGCCATGTTCACGTTGTTTCCCTTGTTGCCATTACCTTGGGACAATTCATGACTCTGCAGAATTCATCAAGATCAGTGTCTTGAAGACTGATAAATAAGCTATACTTGGAGCTAAAATAAGCAGATTGGCAAGGTCTATAAGCTGGGTCTTGGATAAATGAATCAAAAATAACTGGCCGCCATATTAGATCTTGTATTGCCTGAAGGCAACTCACTTGGTTTTTCTAAGAGGACTAGAAATACAAAAGTGTAATGTAATAGTAAGCAAC